GATTCGTTAGAATACTGGGTTTTCTGCACGCTATATCTCTGCTATCCGGCATCCGATCGGAGTGCGGCATGTCTTTTCGTGATCGGGAGAGTCATGCCAATCGACTGCCATCGGAAAAAGGGACTTCCATTTCCTCACGATTTTCGCAAAAAATCATGATGGTTACATCATTAAAATTGCAAAAAATCGGCCTCATTTTCACAGTCGAGATTTTAATGCAGTTCGACAGTCTGGATTCTCACGATCCTGGGAGAGTTGGTCCTGCACCGATCTGCCCTTATTTGTCTGAAATATAGCCTTCCGAAAATTTTGATTTTGCATTTCATTACAATACTGGCTTTCCTGCACGCTATAACTCTGCTCTCTTTTCGTGATCCTGGGTTAGTTGGTCCTGCAGCGATCTGGCTCATATCATCATCATATCATTTTCATTATGATTAAAATACTTTCACTTTATTTAACCCTTCCTTTCATTTTAGCAGATCGCACCCTCCGGTTGATAGGAATACCTTTCGAATGCCGTGGTCACCGATTTGCCCACCATTGTTTACCAGGGGCATCACCCTTTTAGTCTTCCGGTCTTAAGAGCGAGTATGCGCTCGATGACGGCTATCCACTCCAGGCGCTTCACCGGCTGACATCGTGAACTCCGGCTGGCTCCTGCGCACGGGTATATTATTCCTGTCCCCTCACAGGACACAGTCCTATCCAAGCATTATCGAGTCGTACTCGAGACACACCTGTCCTATCCCAGCCAGACAGAATCGTATCCCAGCATGACAGAAGCGCACCCCTGCAAGATCCTCACCTAACAAGCCATCGTCATCCTTCAACCTGGCCAACGACAACAAGGACTTTGACTATGGCAATCAAGAGAGGGGCTACGCGGACTACTAGACTTTAGATAAATATCGTTGTTGTTATGTTTAAGGATATACATATACGTCCATTCATTTAGATAGTAGATACAAATTTGTTGCACTTTTATATTTATTTATACTAAGCTAAGTTATGATGAATAAAACTATTGAAAAATCATCCTTGCTGTATCCTGATTTGGGGCAAATATAGCGGGGAATATTGGGAAAAAATAGCAGAGAAAATTTAATATTGTTGCTTCTCTAAAATGTCCTTGATCCTTGAAAAGGACTCTATCAAATCAGGGACATTTTTTGGATCATAGGAAGCTATCGCACGTCCCGATCGGGCCACAAATTAACGCGAAAACTAAATATGTATGGTGGGGTTGTTGGATTCCTTACCGAAGGATCAAGGACATTTTTCTGATCACGTGGGGCCATGGCTCGCCTCGATACGGCCACACATAAGGCAAAAAACAAGATATATAGATCTGGAGAAAATATCCTTGATCCTTGGTCCATGATAAGTTTTCCTACAGATCAAGGATGTAATTCCGAACCCAGGAAGCTGTCGCACGTCCCGATCGGGCGTCAAATAACGGAGAAAAAAACAAAACTTGTTGTTGTCAACAAAAGTTTGTTTTACAACAACAACTCTCAAGTTGCGACCGCTCAAATTCCCAAGAACGAGAATTTCAGATCTGGGATACCAGGCGAACAGAAATCAGCAGAAGGTCGCTGGTTTTTTTCTTTAAAAAATGTGTTGCATACTTTTGGGGAGTTTAAAAACGGAAGAACAAAAAAATTTGTACAAAATTTAAAAAACCAGCGACCTTCTGCTGATTTCTGTTCGCCTGGTATCCCAGATCTGAAATTCTCGTTTTCGGCCATTTGAGCGGTCGCAAGTTGAGGGTTGTTGTTGTACAACAATCGACAGCACCAACTTTTATTGTTTTCTCCGTTATTTGTGGCCCGATCGGGACGTGCGATAGCTTCCTATGATCCAAAAAATGTCCCTGACTTGATAGAGTCCTTATCAAGGATCAAGGACATTTTAGAGAATCAAAAATATTAAATTTTCTCTGCTATTTTTTCCCAATAATCCCCGCTATATTTGCCCCAAAACAGGATACATCAAGGATGATTTTTCAATAGTTTTATTCATCATAACTTAGCTTAGTATAAATAAATATACAAGTGCAAAAAATTTGTATCTACTATCTAAATGAATGGACGTATATTTCCTTAAACATAACAACAACGATATTTATCTAGAGTCTAGTAGTCCGCGTAGCCCCTCTCTTGATTGCCATAGTCAAAGTCCTTGTTGTCGTTGGCCAGGTTGAAGGATGACGATGGCTTGTTAGGTTAGGATCTTGCAGGAGTGCGCTTCTGTCATGCTGGGATACGATTCTGTCTGGCTGGGATAGGACAGGTGTGTCTCGAGTACGACTCGATAATGCTTGGATAGGACTGTGTCCTGTGAGGGGACAGGAATAATATACCCGTGCGCAGGAGCCAGCCGGAGTTCACGATGTCAGCCGGTGAAGCGCCTGGAGGGGATAGCCGTCATCGAGCGCATACTCGCTCTTAAGACCGGAAGACTAAAAGGGTGATGCCCCTGGTAAACAATGGTGGGCAAATCGGTGACCACGGCATGCAAAAGGTATTCCTAAATGAAGTAAAAGTATTTTAATGATAATGAAAATGATATGATGATGATATGAGATAGATCGCTGCAGGAACAACACTCCCAGGATCGTGAAGATTCAAAGAATCAAACGGCATCAAAATCATCTTTGAAAATGATGCCGATTTTTGTAAAATTTAATGATGTAACCATCATGCTTTTTTGCGAAAATCGTGAGGAAATGGAAGTCCCTTTTGCCGATGGCAGTCGATTGGCAGGACTCTCCCGATCACGAAAAGACATGCCGCACTCCGATCGGATGCCGGATAGCAGAGATATAGCGTGCAGAAAACCCAGTATTCTAACGAATCCAAATCTTCAGAAGGCTATATTTCAGACAAATAGGGCCACATCGCTGCAGGACCAACTCTCCTAGGATCGTGAGAATCCAGACTGTCGAACTGCATTAAAATCTCGACTGCGAAAATGAGGCCGATTTTTTGCAATTTTAATGATGTAACCATCATGATTTTTTGCGAAAATCGTGAGGGAATGGAAGTTCATTTTTCCGATGGCAGTCGATTGGCAGGACTCTCCCGATCACGAAAAGACATGCCGCACTCCGATCGGATGCCGGATAGCAGAGATATAGCGTGCAGAAAACCCAGTATTCAAACGAATCCCAATCTTCAGAAGGCTATATTTTAGACAAATGAGGGCAGATCGGTGCAGGACCAAGTCTCCCAGGATCGTGGGAATCCAGACTGTCGAACTGCATTAAAATCTCGACTGTGAAAATGAGGCCGATTTTTTGCAATTTTAATGATGTAACCATCATGATTTTTTGCGAAAATCGTGAGGAAATGGAAGTCCCTTTTTCCGATGGCAGCCGATTGGCAGGACTCTCCCGGTCACGAAAAGACATGCCGCACTCCGATCGGATGCCGGATAGCAGAGATATAGCGTGCAGAAAACCCAGTATTCAAACGAATCCCAATCTTCAGAAGGCTATATTTTAGACAAATGAGGGCAGATCGGTGCAGGACCAAGTCTCCCAGGATCGTGGGAATCCAGACTGTCGAACTGCATTAAAATCTCGACTGTGAAAATGAGGCCGATTTTTTGCAATTTTAATGATGTAACCATCATGATTTTTTGCGAAAATCGTGAGGAAATGGAAGTCCCCTTTTCCGATGACAGTCGATTGGCAGGACTCTCCCCATCACGAAAAGACATGCCGCACTCCGATCGGATGCCGGATAGCAGAGATATAGCGTGCAGAAAACCCAGTATTCTAACGAATCCAAATCTTCAGAAGGCTATATTTCAGACAAATAGGGCCACATCGCTGCAGGACCAACTCTCCCAGGATCGTGAGAATCCAGACTGTCGAACTGCATTAAAATCTCGACTGTGAAAATGAGGCCGATTTTTTGCAATTTTAATGATGTAACCATCATGATTTTTTGCGAAAATCGTGAGGAAATGGAAGTCCCTTTTTCCGATGGCAGCCGATTGGCAGGACTCTCCCGGTCACGAAAAGACATGCCGCACTCCGATCGGATGCCGGATAGCAGAGATATAGCGTGCAGAAAACCCAGTATTCTAACGAATCCCAATCTTCAGAAGGCTATATTTTAGACAAATGAGGGCAGATCGGTGCAGGACCAAGTCTCCCAGGATCGTGGGAATCCAGACTATCGAACTGCATTAAAATCTCGACTGTGAAAATGAGGCCGATTTTTTGCAATTTTAATGATGTAACCATCATGATTTTTTGCGAAAATCGTGAGGAAATGGAAGTCCCCTTTTCCGATGACAGTCGATTGGCAGGACTCTCCCCATCACGAAAAGACATGCCGCACTCCGATCGGATGCCGGATAGCAGAGATATAGCGTGCAGAAAACCCAGTATTCTAACGAATCCCAATCTTCAGAAGGCTATATTTCAGACAAATGAGGGCAGATCGGTGCAGGACCAAGTCTCCCAGGATCGTGGGAATCCAGACTGTCGAACTGCATTAAAATCTCGACTGTGAAAATGAGGCCGATTTTTTGCAATTTTAATGATGTAACCATCATGATTTTTTGCGAAAATCGTGAGGAAATGGAAGTCCCCTTTTCCGAAGACAGTCGATTGGCAGGACTCTCCCGATCACGAAAAGACATGCCGCACTCCGATCGGATGCCGGATAGCAGAGATATAGCGTGCAGAAAACCCAGTATTCTAACGAATAAAAATCTTCAGAAGGCTATATTTCAGACAAATAAGGGCAGATCGGTGCAGGACCAAGTCTCCCAGGACCATGAAGATTCAGAGAATCAAACGGCATCAAAATCTCGACTCTCCCGATCACGAAAAGACATGCCGCACTCCGATCGGCTGACGGATAGCAAAAATATAGCCTACGGAAAAACCAGTATTTTAATGAAATGCAAAATCAAAACCTTCGGAAGGCTATATCTCAGAAAAAAGGGTTCCAGATTTTTGTAAAATTTAACGATGCGCATGCGTAGGAGCCTTTTATTAAGTTAGTTATCTTGGTTCATACTTTTTAATCTATAATATTATCCGGGTATGGATGGTTCCGGTTAACGTGTAATTACGCCACCGCTTTGATCGAGTAAGTCTTGCAGATTAATCTCCTCTTCATCATCGTTCTCCTTCTCCTTGTCCAAGAGCTCACCCACAGACACGGGTTTCGGTTCCTCAACAGGCTGCACTTTTGCCAAATGGTGTTTGTTGCACGGTTCACAACTGCAGCCTGTGGGTACTTCCAGGGACTGTTCTAGATAGTTTCCATCGGCACACTTTACCTTCACCAAGACGGTTCTCAAACCCGTGGCGGCACAGCAGCTGCACTTATCCTCAAACTTGATCAAAAGCGGATTGTACTTGAAGGCCGAATCGCAGGCACCGTCGCACTGGGTGACACCCTGGATCGGTTGCTCGTTGAAGCATTGCCCATGATCCTGGCTCTTGTATCTGATCAGCCTAACCGTGTGCTGAAGGGGTAGAGATACGGCCTGACAGCCTGTTTTATCCAGCGTCGGGGGCCTACTCTTGCACTGCTTGCAACAGCCGCCATTATCCACAAGATCCGCAAGCGGGCACTGGCTGACATCCGCACAGGTCTCGTGCGACTCGTGTCTGATCAGCTGACCGTCGAGGGACACGCAAGTGTACGTGATGCACTTGTCCAGACTGCGCCACTGCTCGTCTGGCTTGTACAGTTTGCCATCGTGATGGCAGCCCGTTGGCACGCAGGAGCCGCAACACTTGGCGCTATTCGTGTGCTCGTAGGTGTACCCGAGCGGACACTTTTTGTCACAGCTGAGAATGGTGTTCACTGTCTGCAACAGATAGCCGATAACCACGCACTCGTACGAGACGCACGGGTCCAGCGGATCCTGCCACTTGTCGCCTGTTCGATGGGCTTGCACCACATTGTCGTGATGACTCAGGCACTTATCCTTGGGCGGCACACTTTGTGTACGGCACAGCAGTCTCCGGGCAATTTCTCTGAGATCAGTTCATAGTGATGCTCATCGCATACTGCAGGCGGCTTTGGGCACTTGCTGAGCACACAGACAACTCGTTGTCCGGGACAGCAACCGTCGTCTACGGGTTGCAGTTCCTCTCCTGGTCGTAGTTTCACTGGAGAAGTAGGCTCACATTGAACCTTGGGCTTGCATTCTATAAAGGGAACACAAATGATTACAGTAAAATATCAGAAAACAAAAAACCCACCGCATATATAGATGGGACATTCATTGACATCCTTGTCCACAATTCGATGCTGGTCTGGACCGCAATCGGGCAACTTGGGCTTCTCACAAACGTGTCCAGGAGGCTTTTCAATGTTTCCCACGCATATGCGAGTGGGGCAGCACTCGTAATCCCTTTGCAGCACCACCTGAGTAAAGCCCTTCTGGCAGATGTGATCCGCATCGCGACCACACTGCTCCTTTTCACAGCTGACCTGTCCGCTGGCGAGACAAGTGCAATTTGTGCATTTATCCGGCTGCCAAACGTCGCCCACGTGACGGCCGTCGCCGCAGGTTATGCACTTGCTGGGGGATACGCATTTGCCGTGGTGAAGTACCTTGTCATCGGGACAGAAGCAGCCCTCGTGACGTTCTGTATGCAGGCAGCGTCCCTTGAAAATGATCGCCAGATTGCTCTGATCAACACGATCAACGCCAGTGTCACAGTTGACGTCGCAATCGCAGGACTTGTAGGACAATCCAGGCGGACACTGTGCCGGGCACTCGGCAAAGGGACGCCAGTCGACACAGACGCCAGCAGCGTTACACTCGGCTGCATAGGCACTGAGAGCGTCACAGATCACCTGCTTGTCCGTGGTGGCAGTGCAGGTGTCCTTCTGGCAGGCCTGAATGAATGCCAGCGGATCTACGAGCAAAGGACAACGGTCAAAGATGCCCGACTGTACGATCAGGTGATAGCAAAGATTGCGCTCCCGGGGCAGGGGTTTGCAGATCTGATGGCCCTGACAGGGACGCGTGTTAATGCCCAGCCGGGGTTCGTCTATCTGCCAACTGGTGACAAAGTCTATCAACCCCAAGGGACGCTGATCCGTAGGTTTCTTAAGGGGATTGATGTGCAAATCGTCTATGCTAAGGCCGTTGCAGTTGCCGCACAGACCCTCCATGCGACTGCCATACCGTACCGAAGGAACACTCAGCTACAGGAGGCAGAGATATGAGCTTGAGGTAGGATAGAGAACAGTTAATAGAGCTTACCTGAAACTGCAGTGTATTCAGATTCACAATCAACTCGAGCTTGGCTTGTGGCAGTTGCACAATCAGTTGCTGTTCCCTCTGTTGAATCACCTTCAGCCAGGTGGACTGATGAGGCCACAGGGAGACTTGATAGCCATCAGCCAACAGCTTCACATCCTGCGCGTGTCGTTCGATGTGGAGAGTGTTCTCTCCAGCAGTCACATGCAGCGCCTGCACGCAGCTTTCCGTCTCCGTGGGACCGCAAGGCTTGATGGTGGCATAGACCTGGAAATGGTAGCTGCCTGGCAGGAGCAGATCCCTGGTAACCAGATAGGTGCAGTTGCCCTTGAAGCTGTAGCTGCTTCCGTCGTATGTGACAAACTTGCTGGCCCCGAACAAGGTGCATTTGCAGTCCTTGCAGTCCTCGATGGGCACACATTCTTCACCTCGCCGCACAGTGCCCTCGGGACAGTAGCATCCGGAGAAGCAGGTCCTTGGTATGGATGGACAAACGCTGGCCGTCTGGCCGCTCTGGAGGTCGCCGCACTGCTGTTCGCAGCGTTGCCTGTAGCAATCGTGGTGTATAAGAGGGGGACGGCAGGTCTGGTTGCAGCGGTGCACACTCCTCCAGCTAGTCAGCTGCAAGTGTCGATTGACGGCCAGGCATTGACCAACGAATTGCTGCAGAAGATCGCAGCGACAGCTGCCCTCGGCACCGGCATTGGCCTTCAGGCACTCGCAGGTATTCTCCACGCACCGGCTGAGGAAGTCCTGGATGTTAACCGAGACGCTGCAGGCTCCAAACGAGGGATGTCTGGGAGGGATAAAGAAGGAAAAGGATATTGTAGAAGGATGCACTACATTAACAAGGGATCGCACTCGTACCTGACTGCTTGGCACATTTGTAGGGCTCGTTGCTGCAAATCCACGGGGCAGACCTGCGGCCGACACTTGTCCAGTGGCACCTTGCGGTCATACCAGGCATCCCCAAAGTCTGTGCTGCTGATCACATGTAATCTTTGAGGGGTACGCTTATCATCATCACTTCGACCATTGTAGAAGCCACACAACCCATCCACACGGCCGAGCAGGTCCTGGGAGACACCAATCCTTATGTTCCCACTGGCCGCATACTGCACCCAGAACTTGTGTTGGCGACAAACGACCACAATGGTCTCACCTATCTGGCTGATGACGAAGGATCGCCGGATGGCGTTTACCAAGGCCAAATCGCGTACACTGAACTCATAGCCGTTGAAGATCACCCGCTGGTTGGGCAGAATGCTGATGGTAATACCTCTCTGCTGGTCGCTAATGATCAGTGTCTTGGCCCCGCAGCTCGGCTGATCTGGGGCACACTGGAGCTGTGTGCTGATGGACCAACGATTACCGTCCGTATCCCGCGCCAGGGTGTGGCTGCAGATGTCATACTTGTAGACGGTACTATCGAAAGTGCTGAAAATACGTCCGGTTATGTCGCACGTATCGTCTGGTATCCGTGACCGTCTGCAGGTGTAGATGGGAGACTTTCCGGCTCCAATGCTGGAAGTATCAACGATTGGTTCGTAACCCTCTGGACACTTGGGATCCATGCAAGTCTTGTTGCTCTGGGGCAGGCAGCAGAAGGCGTCGCAAAGCTCCATATTCTTCAGATCTCTGGTAGCAATGTAAGGAGTGAGACCCATCAGGGCCTGCAGCTCTCGTGGCAGCTGGAAGTTGTATCCGTACAAGCTCAACTCTGATTTATCTTTGGTTCCACGTACGCCATTTACTAGCAACAGTGTCTCCGAGTCCAGCTCTAGCTCATCCCCTGCCTGATCCGTATCCGAATAATCGGAAATCGTGGGTTGTGCAATGCCAATCTTCTTTAGAAGCTCAATGATTCCCAGTGGCAATGCAGGCGAGGCCTCTGTCTCTGGCCTTTGTGGAATCAAAGGCAATTCATTAAGCTCCAACATTTCCAGTGTTAGACCTGACTCGCTTTGAGGCTTCACCACCGCCTCCTCCCCTTCAGTGGCAGTTAAAAAGGAAAGTACTTTACGGACCACTGAAGCAATCTCTGGGTTCTCCGAGGATTGCAGCTGCGATAGCCACTCCTTCAATGGCTCGATGGCCTGATCGATGTCATCATTTTCTGTAGAAACAGAGGTCAAGAGCATTTCGGATAATACTTTTGGTATTTTTCCCCTAATCTTGACGGTGTAACCGGGGGGACACTCGATAACAGGGCACTCTGTAGGGGGTTTTCTGGTGGTGGCTGTGCCGGAACAGAGGGAAAAACATTAGGCACGGATTAAAAATGGAACTCTGTCTGAGTCTAAGTGTCTTACGTGGCTGCAGCGTTGTCTGTGCAGGATCACATGTCTCATCCTCATCATCGGCACAATTCTGGACGTGATTGCACCACCATTCATTTGGAATACAATCCCCGCTGGTGGGGCAAAGCCGCAGTGGCAGCCATTGCGGACACGCTGCATGTGGGTCGGACAGGGTGGGCAGGTCTGTGGCTTGCAACTGATGATTCCCCCCAACAGACAGACGCACTCCTCGCAGTCTTTATTCTCGAATTTCGTTCCAATGGGATAGCTATAAAAGACAACAGCTAGACCACGAAGTACATACTTTCTCAATTAGATTCTTACGGCGTGAAGTTGTCGATGCAGGGGCAGAGATTACGTTCGATGCACTTGTAGCCAGACCAAAAGAGACCATCGCTGCAAGGGCAATCGCCTCCAGTCAAAGACGGCAGGTCGATGCCCTTGCAGACGGTACAGGGTCGCAGAATGGGCTTAGTAGTGTTGGCTGTATAAGTAAGAAGTTGATGAAGAGCCTATCATGATTGTATATCTCTATCACTTACGGTAAGGAAGGAAACAGCCCAGCGGCTCAATGCGCCAGTTGATGTTCTTCTCCCATCCCGTGGGCAACAGTCGTAGATATCGTGTGACCAGCGGTCGTACAAAGCCATTCGTTTGAATACCCTGGGCATCTCGATTGCCTTCAAAGATATGAGCATCTCCATTCGGTCCAGGCAGCTCGTTCCACACCAGCCTGTTCAGGGAGAAGAGTACGCGATAGGCGGTGACCCAGCCGTGGACTCCGCCCCGTGTCTGTACGGCTGTCACGTTGCGTGGCTCCAGGAAATCAAAGTCCACATACTCGTCCTGCTTGTTGGCCAGTGGACGCCAGCCCAGCTGGGAGCGGAACTGCAGCAGGTCCAAGAGACCCACCTGGCTATCAACCTGCGAGGATAGCCAAATACTGCTCGCGGTCACTTGATGGGGCTGCAGTTTTCCGTTGTCCACACCCAGAGGGTCGTCACAGATCAGCCTGTCGAGTGGTGGCTTCGTGGGCGGCAGAGGCGTCGTCCTATCGGGCACTGGAGCTGTGGTGGTTGGCACATGGTTGCAAAGCAGTAGATCAAAGCGCATGGCAATGACATTCTGCCATCTCAGAGGATAGAGACGCACAGACTTGGCCTCGATGGGGCGCTGGAAAACATGCGCACGGGCCACACGCGAATCCTTAGGTCCTATCAGCACCTGTGGCTCTCCTCGTTGATCGATCAGTTCGTGATAGCCCTCGCCATCCAGGCTGTACAGCACCTTGAAGAGCGTCACATAGTTGTCATTGTGTGGATCGCCGGCAATGAGCAGTCCATAGATGCCTTGCGGCCGCTCAAAGTCCACCTGTAAATATTGCGACTGATCGCTGATCTTCGGTGTCCAAGCCCCAGCATTGAGCTTGGGCTTACGGTGCAGACGGGCCAAATGCGCCACGTGGTCGTTGCTCAGCGAGCTGGAAGCACTGAAGGCACTGTCGCTTATAGAGGGTTCCCTCGTAAAGAAGCGAACCATGCTGCACAGAAAAGAGAGGTATCACTGTATTAACACTGCATTATTCTGGGGACCGACTCAGCTGCCCAAGAACAACTTTTTGGTGCCTTATGAAAAATCTTGCTTATACGTACCTATTTGTTGGGCACAATACAGGCGGAGTAAGAGTTGTGGGTATCAAAGGTAATGCTGTAGTCGTGGTGTGACCTCCAATCGGTGCTGAAAATGAAGAAGGAAATATCAATGAAGTGCCTCATTCCGGGTAAGTATATTTACTTACGCGCCTCCGTGGTGGTCTTTTTTGGGACGCACACATATTGATTAAACACACATTGACAGTCGAACTGATCATTGATAATAATCCCATGTGGTTGCACGTACTTATCATTGTCGTCGTCCAGGCAAGGACAGTCATCCTGATCCACACAGGTGTTCTCATCGCGCCAGAACTTACCTAGGGCCCTACAATCCGGCCGCTTCTTAGGCACGCATCCGCCCTTGCAGTGTTCGCCGGGATTGCAGAGCCCTCGCTTAATCAACTGCTGGCCAAAGAAGTGGCACGTGTGCTCGCATTGGTTGGCGCAATCGTTCCACTCCTCATCGTCGCGACAGCGGTCGGTTATCTTGCGGCACTCCGGCCTAATCCGTGATACTATTGAGACCTGATCGCAGGCACCGATGGCCGTATTGAACATCAGATTGGTGCCACAAGAACCGGGCACCCAGTGCCAGTTTGTATTCCCGGGAATGTGCTCGCAGCGCAGATACTTGTAGCAGTCCCCAGGGTACTCCTTGAACATCTGGAACGATGGATCGCAAATCTCTGTGGGTGGTGGCGGCGGTGGTGGCGGCGGTGGGGGCTTAGCGGTGGTGTATCCATCATCATCGCACAGGCAATGTACTCGAATCTCGTAGTCGTGGCATTTACCCACACAGACAAGACCCCGATCCAGGTTGCAGACGACATTATCATCCACAAGGTCGTACGACTGTTTGGTGTCCTTAACGCGGCATTCGATGCTGGTCATGTACTCCCGATTGCAGGTGCCGTAAATGGACTCGAAGCGATCGAACTTGGGCAGCGGTTCCACATCGTTGAGATTAATGCCACCCGCACTCGAGCCACGATCCAACCAACGCGACCAGCCGCGCACACAGTTCTTGCCCCGATCTTGATTTGGCACTGTTCCTGTGCCCGTGACAGATGGTCCTTCAGTGGTTACGACGGGTGGACAGGGCTTGCCACTACACACCTCCTTCTTCTTGGAGCAGCGACAGGTGGCACAGTCATCCGTGTAGGTGATGTCGCCCTCGTAGTATGTGATGTCCTCCCGCACCAGACACACTGGCTTGCACTCCGACCTGGGCACGCACACCGTGTGGGTGTCGTTTAAATATATCTGACCCGGCGGACAGGGCTTGATCAGGCAGCCCTCGACGCAGTTCTCGTGATGACACAAACGCCCCGAATCTCCCTGATCTAGCAGATTATCGCAGGTCTCCACAGGACAAGCTGGAGTACAGGCACTGTAGTCCGAGCAATGGGTATCACATTGCATGGCTAACCGGGAAGGGGACGATCTTAGCATGGGATATCAAGGGAAGATGAAGGATCTGTAGTACTCACGACAAAAGTGGGGCGTACGCCAACGCACGTTGATGCTTTTCTGGGCACAAGCATCGGCATAGGCAGCCACAGCCGTGCAGAGGCACTCGCAGTCGCCACCCTGATCGCAGGAACAGGTGTCAAAGATGCAGCGTTTCAGGTAACGCTCCAGCGGCACCTCCACATGGCAGGCTGCGAATAGGGGCGACTTCAGGACACTACATTGCAACTCGGACCAGGCACGACGCTGTGGATTCCGCTGACACGAATCAAACAGTTGTTGGGGCAGCACGCACTGCTGATGCGTCCGCCACGAGTGACCAAAGAGCGTGGGCTCTGTCTCCTGTCCCCCCGATGGGGGTTTGAAGTCATCCAAGCTATTGCCATTGTTGTTGCCACATAGTCCGGCAACACGGCCCTGCCACTCGTTGCCAATCTTCACATAGACGCGGGTCCCCTCGTCCCATTTGATCTGCAGATGCAAGGAGAGTACCTCGACGACAACAAACACTCCCGCCTTGTAGATGTGGAATGAGCTGGAGGAATGAGAGCTTATCTGCTTGCGAAGACCTACAAGAGATCATATATTTACGGAGTCGAAATGTGTTTTGGCCAAAGAACCCAACATTTTATAAAATGGTTTGTCGATGCAATATGTACTAACCTGCTATAGTCGATGTATTGGAATCCGTTGCATAAATACCGCCAGCGCTCAGCTTTAGCTGCTCCTGACCCTGGCCCTTACCCTCACTTGCCTTGCCGCTCAAATTGATCTCCAAGGACTTGGAGCACGTCACACCCGATGAGCCGCACAGTACATTCTGTATGACAATGGAGAAGCCAAGGCCCTGATCGTTGACGCCCTTGGACAGTATGTAATCGCACTCGCCCAGGAAGTCAAAGTCCTTACCATCGAAGGTGCTGAAGTGAGAGTCACCCCAGATACTGCAAGAGGACTCGCAATCGTTGCGGCTGCATTTCCAGGAGCCACCCTGGCAAACGCACAGATTGCACAGCTCTTTGAAGGTGTCGCCGTCATCAAAGCTCCTTCCCGCATGGTAGCAGGAGCACTTCTCCGATGGCACGCACTGCTGGCGCGTCACATCGTACACGTAGCCATCGTCACAGACACAGCCGGGACGACAGGCGGCAGTGTCCGGCTTGAAGTCATGCATGTTCTTGCATGTCCTGGGCTCTTTGGGGGCACAGGAGACGAACTTGGCGTAGGGAGTCTTGGCACACTGTTTGCGAAGGTTGCCTAATGGCGGATAAACGATTAAGTCATCCTTGTCCGCATCGTGGCACTGCCAAAGGCCATCCAAACAGGTGCTAGAAAAGACATTTGGCTTTGGATTGGATATCTCATCCATTACTCATATTATATATATCTACCACAATTGCTGGACCCGAGGACCCGGTCGCACCTCCTTGTAGCCTGGCTTGAAGCTAATCCCCTCGTAGTGGCATGAGCACGCCTTCTGCGGAACACACTCCTGCTCGTCGTTGAGGAAGTGTCCCTTGGGACAGCGGCAGCCTTCAATGCACTGGCGCTTGCACTGATCTCGATGCTGCAGATCGTGGCAGCTCAAGGCGCAGGAGTCACCGCACTCGTCGTACTCCTGGCCATCGGGACACTTGATTGAGCACTGTTTGATCGATTGCCGCCAGCTGGTGTGAATGCCATTCCGTACGCAAAGATGGGCATAGTCGGCAAGCAGCTCGCACAAGGCCTTGTTGGTTGTAGCCGGACTTGTGGTGGAGTCCTTGGCGGCACATATATCGGCAATACAGTCCTCGTAGTGGCTGGTAGGATCTACAGCCCAGTGGCAGGGCGAGAAGGTGTCGGATCTGAGCAGCGAGCAAATCTCTTCGGCTACCTTTAGCTGTTGGGGATTCTCGGAGCAGGGTGTGGGCGCCACGGGTGGCTCTGGCTCTGCGCACATCTCCTTGGTCCGCCATTTATTGGCAAACGCCACAGCGGTGCCTTCGTAGTCACCGTCGGGCGTGAGGAAGTCGTCCTTCGTGTTGTCGTTGAACGTGCCACAGAGCCCGGCCGTGTTGTCAAAGTAGCTGTAGGGTGCATCAATGTGAACTGTCGATTGGCTGTTCCACCACACCACCAGGCCGTCGTCAAAAGTGACCGTCAGGAAATGATGGCTGGCCAGTCGAAGCACCACTTCACAGTTGCCCAGCTCCAGTGGGAGCTGCGTCACAGCCTCACCGTTGACAGAGCTATGGAGCTTCTGGTCCAGCTTGATGACCGTTGGACCGCCATCTCTGAGGGTAAAACGCAGAACTATCGATCTGGTGCAGGAGTGTCCAGTGGGCGATGGCTCCACAGCTTCATCGATGGCCCCAGAGCACTTGATGTTTTCGCCCTCCACTGAACGACTGGAAGTCTTGAGCAGGAAGTAGAGGCAGCGGCCCTGAAAATCGTAACGTTTGCCATCGAAGGTGCGATAGTGGGGATCCCCAAAGGCCGAGCAGCGTTTGTCGCACTTGTTGTCGGTGCACTGCCACTTCCCCGAATGGCAGAGGCACGTGTTGCAGTCCTTTTGGTGCTTCTCCCCGGGCTGGAACTCTCGTCCCCGCAGCTCGCAGGGACACATCTTTCGTTCGATGCACGTGTCCCTGTACTGCAGCTTGCCTTCGGGGCACTCCTTCATTCTCGCAGGTGGGCTGCGATTGCGGACCACACGTTTGGTAGATGCGGCCACCGCTGCAGCTGATGGGACACAGCTGAAGATTGCGCCAATCCTTGGCTGGCTCAAGGCCCTCAAACCGACACTCGTCCACCAGCGACTGCAGGAGATTGCAGCTGCAGTCCTGACCATCATCACAGGCACATTGGTCACTGATACAGGTACGCAGTAGAGTCTCCTGGTTGAACTGCTCCAGACAGGACTTTAGCTTAAGATTGTACAGCAGATCCTTGCACTTGCTGACCGCCTTCTTATGGCGATCTCCGTGGCACTGAGCCAAATCCTCATCGGGCTCGAGGACACACGTTTGGTCAGCATTGCGCCAACTGTCGGTAAAAGTGCGAATTGCCTTGGACCCGCTGCCTGATCGGCTCATTAGATCGTTGTCACAGTTGCCATCGAGATGCCCACAGAGACCTCCCAACTTTTGCCAGAGATCGACACTGGCGTGCACCGCGAGCTGCTGATGGTGATCCCAGATTAATTGCAGACCCACCGACTCAAGGTCGACTTCAATGTGCTGAGCGAACGTCACTATCTTCATGCCCAGCACCTGGACGGGCAACGAAAGCTTCTTACTGGGCGTGGAAAGAGTCATACTTCCATCTGTAATATAATCTCATATAAAATCCTCTTTGGGGAGCATATTTATCCACACTTACTGAGATTCTCCAGCGTGTATTGCACGGACTGCCATTGGATCTGAATAGTCACTGGCGATGTGCTTGAGGGGCTCTTAATGGACACATGGAATGCCCCATAGATCTTTTCACTGACCAGAGTGTGCCTACGCACAGTTCAGTGGCACCCTATACAGCAATCCGTCAAAGGTTCGTATATTTCGACCATTCCAAGAACTGCAAACCGACGGCTTTGGTGCCACAACAATATCCTTGCGGGGCTTCGGACAGATTATCCGGCCATGGGAGGACGTGTCCACCAGTTATGGTTACTGTTCCATTTGTCTGCGTGTCGGAAGTGCTGATGTGCTGCGAAATGTTTCTATTAGGAGCTGTTCCAAACAGAAATATTTTGTTCAAATAAGAGCAAAGAAAAAGTTTCATTCACATTCTGATTATCTTATCGGTTACAGAAATTTTGATATTGATAAGAAAATGCAACACTTACGATAAATGCACTTGACCGCTGGTGTGGGCTGAAACTGGCCAGTGCTGTAATCACAGACGTATAGCGACTGCAGCGTACCCTGGACACTGACTCCGGGTAAAGATGGGCAGGTCAGCCTACACTCGGAGCGATCTGGGGCGTGGTCGCATTGAAAGTTGCCATTGAACGTGGTTATGTTGCAGCTAGAGACTGGATACTGGCACTGCTTGCCCCGGAAGTTGGGTGGACATTCACAGACATTGGCCGCAATGCACTTGCCGCCGTTGAGGCAAACCGGAGAACATGTTGCTGGAAAATGATGAGTTTTTCACAATATCCGTCTAAGTGGAAGAGCCTGTTGCCCGCTGTTTCTTTACCCTCGCAATCCGATATCTTGGTGTGGCCTCCAGCCAAATCAATGTATTTGGTACCCTCACACTTCAGCAGAACCCGACTGCGGCCATCGGCGAGGGAAAATCCTCTGGAGCACTGTACCTCACAGGTGTCGCCACGGCAAACGGTTTTCGAATTCCTGGGCAGCTGAGGCGGCTCTTCCGGACACGCGAACTCCTTGTACTTCTCACAGCTGACTCCGCCGTAGCCCTTGCGACAGTGGCACACCTTCTCGCCGTTGCAAATGCCACCGTTGCGGCAGATGCAAGCACCATCGCAGTGCTGTATGGTCTTTGCCGTGGGCGCTCCGTTCTTAATGCCCCAGGTGCCGCGCCTGCAGGAAAGAATCATTTTGCGGACGTTCGGCTGCTCCCCATAGAAGTGGTTCTTGCCGATGCAGCTGACTTCGCACTCGCCGCCCTCCGGCGTCTTCACACAGTTCACATCGGTGTTTATCGGAAACTTGTACTCGGGACAGTTGGGAAAGGGTTTCTTCACTTGGCTGAACCAAATGTCGTGTGCCTTTTTGGGACCCCAGTTCGGGTTGCTGGAAACGCAAAGATTGAGAGACGATCTCCAATTGGTTATCCTTTCACTTACTCGGCCACCCAGGTACGTGTTGGCTCCACACTGTAGCAGATCACACTGCTGAGTAGGGATGCCGCCAGGATGCACAGTCCTGTATCCATGGACCAGCTGGGTTGAGTCCTTTGCAAGGACCTGTGAGTTATTCCTTGTGTTCACTTTTCTCTACTTTTCCACGGATCAATCACAGAATTACGACTAAGAGGAAGTTTCTCTGGGCCGTGGTTTTTATACCCAGAAACACTGAGCTGTGGAAAAATAGATCTGGAGTTATCAGAGTCATTCATACTGCATCTCTACTCATTGTTCTTTTATTTTTGAAGGTTTCACAGATATCGTTTGGTTTTTTTCGATTGTTTGAGAATATTTGAAGAAACACCAATCTTAATAATTACTTAGTGCGTCCCAAAGATAGGGGTGTTACAATGGGGTAATTTTTGTTACTTAGAGTATAACCAGATAAAAGGACTTCCGGTTTGAGAGCGACTTTAAGTTCCAGCCATGACTTTGGCTTGGGTTTTTGTACGACATTAAGGGAATACGTTGCAGTGTAATATATATTTAATTTCTTAATAAAGCATCTTCATATTGGACGAACCATCATCTGAATTATTTTATTTGAATAGTCATTTCGGTAAGAGTCCCATGTCACTCCATTCCACTTCATGCCAGAAACGGTTCCCCTCACATACAAGCCGAAAAGATTACTGAAATTATGAGATTTAAGTCAAAAAATTTAAATATGTATCTATGTATTTACATACCTATCTCCACAGCTTTGGTGCCACCAGGGACCCCTGCGTTCCGTTGCACAGTTACCTTTTTTCCAGGAATCATTGTCCCTGTCGTAGGTCGTAAATTTTTGATTCCTGCATTTATGCATCGAATCACCGGCATCTCCACTAAAACTTCCCAGCCTTGACATCCGATACGAATCATTTTCACTTTCGATGATGATTTCATTATATTTCGCATATCTCGTTCTTCCATCGAAATCCTCCAGGTGTACGTACAGCTCTTGGGGCCGTGACTTTGTTATGGCATGCAGCTTATCCATTCCTATGAAAAAGTCGCCTGTGATGTTCCCAAATCCCCTCTTATACGCCTGCCAGGCGCGAAAAAAGTACAGATCTTCGTTTGTTCGACGGGCTATCACAGTCCAACCGGGACCAGCGATCTTTGCATCGCAGGAAACTTGAAAAGGTTCTAGGTTTCCTACCTGTACGGTATATATACCGTGGGCACTGGGATCAAAAGGACATGTACTATAAGGAACATCACCACTGTGTGATGTGTTTACAAAACTCTGAAAGTAGATTTTTCTTTGCTATTTTTTAAATAAAATACAACTATACTGTAAGATTTACCACTTCTGCTGCTAGACCTGTGCTTTTGCAGAAAAAACGAGGGGGAACGTTGTGAGTTGCTGCGGACACCGCAACTCTACAGTTATACCCGATACTAAGTCAGTATGGCTCTCCTCCGGCAGACGGCGCTAATATTAAACGAAACGACGAAGAGTGTGTGCGAGAGAGACAGAAAATCAGTCTGAGCGTGACGTCGGGCGCTGCGTAGCCACTGAAAATTGTTTTTTTTTCTTTTCTGCTATAAAAATTATCCGATCTGATCCAAATTCAGCAACTGGATAGATATGGTCATTCTCTATGATTCTGCGTTTTTAGTTTTCTCGAATCTGCAATATTGTGGATGCAACAGATTCTCGTCCTTTGTGGGGGCGGAAGGGGGTGGGGCGAAATTCTGAGATATACGTTTTATAGTGAGATCTAACAGAAGTGCGGATACCAAATTTGGTTACTCTAGCTGGATATGATTCCGCAATCGACATTATTGAACTTCACTGCGATGATATGGGTTCATTGTCTGTCGTATGCCAGCATTGCAATGCATTGAACTTTCAATCAGAAGCCACCGGTCTTTGTTTCTCTATGGAAATACAATCCAATAAATGGAAACAGATCAAATCTAATATACATATACAAATCTCATAAACGGCTCGACCGATTTTTATGAAATTATATTTTGGTAAAAAATCAATGCCTCCATTTCGCGAATACCAATAGCAAACTACACATAAAATATATTACGTAAATTACACAAGCTATAAGCTAAGATAAATATGATCAATTTTGGGATTATGTGCTATAGAAATCGATCGGATGGTGGCAAGGTATGTGTTGTTGTTTGTTGCCTCGATTGCATCGCATCGAGCGAGTCGGCTCAAATTAAAAATGTGCCTCTCTTTTTTTTTACAAGGTAACGTAACGCCTTCCACTCGCTAACTCATTCTCTGTCTCTCACACACACACTCTCCCTCGGGCTGAGTATCGGGTATAAATGTAGAGCCGCGGTCATAGTCCTTAGAATTCTTCCGAGGATAAGTTTTGACTAATATATTATCGTACTTACTATCAGACTTCTCCAGCTTTCTGAATTCGATGCGCTGCTAACTGACGTCCTTTTTCAACAAGAACAACTTGTTTTCGAAATTTTGTATTCGTACTTTAGGTACTAGCATCATAACAACAAAGTAACCTGCCACTTTGAAAGGACTTTGAAATCAAACTAAATTTTGATAGATCATACACAAATTTCGTCCAATGTATTTGTATATACACATTTTTGTAACACTCAAATCTAAATTAAATCCGAAAAATTTCGATTGTGCGTAAGAACCATTACCTCGTAATTAGCTTTCGGTCACTAAAATAAAACTTAAGGTCCGTTTCAGAATGGTTTTTATCAAAGAGTGGTGTCGGCAGATCATTTGCCTGTTTCGCCACAACCACGATACCCTGAGTAAGTGTACCATTATGTTCGTGATGCTGGTGGGGATTCTGGACTATAGCTACGTGAAGAGCAACTGCGATCTGCTGTGGTGGAAGAAGCAGCTAACCGACCTGAAAGTGGGCCCCATGTTTGCTTTGCTCTACATTGTGACTTTTAAAGTGTCACTCATCCTATTCATGACATTTTGGAGTTACACGAAAAAGATAGACAGGGAGCAGGAGAAGAATGACATGCCCATCTCGGAAGTAAAGCGACGCTATCGTCGCTTCATTATGATGCGTCTGCTGAAAGCATTTAATGACTTAGTAGAGGAACGTCACCTTCTCAATCTTACTCATTCCGGAAACGTAAAGAAGCGGTTTCTCAAGAAGCACTCGAAATTTATCAAAGAAGTGGAACTCTTTCGCTGGAATGCACGCAAGCTGTACGAGCGCACCGATGATCATCTGTCTTTGCCCCTCCACCAGGTGCTGACCGTTGACGATGAGCTGGAGTACCAGCTCCTGCAGAGCGGTTACGGCGACCGCCTGACGATGCTCAGAGATGTGGAAATCCACCAGATGGTCTACGGATACCAATAGTATACGCAACTTGCCAGCAGCAGAAATCTTCCTCTCCCCATTTTAAAATACTTTTCAATTAGATTTCCACTGATTACTTTACTAGGGATCGCGCTCGAATTTGAGATGAATAAAAATTCCTGGTAAAAATAATCGCTCTTTCTGGTTTGTTTCAGCTTGGCTTAATCGGATGACAGGTATTTTACAAATAAAACCATGTTACCGCCGGCTATCAGTTATCCGACTATCCGAGCTGGCGACTAGAGCCGGCACAGCAGCACTGGCCCATGTTGAAGAAGAGGCCGAATTGGGCCGTCTCCACGGATAGAGTCAGAAAGGATAATGTTGGGGGACTTGCCGCCCAACTCCAGGGTCACGCGCTTCAGGTTCGTGTGGCCGGATGCCAGTTGGATGAGTTGGCTAGGGCAGCGCCGGCCACATTGACTGCTCAGCTGGCTTTAGGAAGATGTTGTTGCCGGCAGCCATTGTGGGTCTTCTCTGTGGTCGGATTGTTGCTCCGGGGTGGTCTGGGGGCTGAGGCAGCGCGGAATAGTGGGCCACAACTGCGCCAAAGGGCGCCGCTGGTCTTCAAAATAGCCGCCACGGAAAATCTCCCCACAAATCCGATTGAGATGGCAGTGCTTCGATAGGTCGTGACAGCTGAAATCGATAATTTATATCGATGATTATAAAATAATCGATATTTGATTACGTTGATTATTTTGTAATTTTTAAAATACCAAAAATACCGAAAATTATACTGCTTGAATTCGTCAGTATATTTACGGTACATTTTCCAAAGACGGTATGTTCCTGTATCGGTCGGACGGTCACACTGTCCCTTAATTGAAAACAAATCAAGGCAAAATGCTAAAATAGTTTAAAATAGTTTTTTTTATAAGTGAAAAAGTGAATCTTTAGTGCAATTATGTTTCTGCCCGAAACAGCCATCTTCTGCATCACTCTGCTGGTCTATGGGGCCATACTTCTGCTGCTAATCTATTATGTGAGCTGTATATCTATATGTTCATATATGGAAAATTTATTAACAAACAATTTCATACAGGTTCTGACATTGGCGGACCTGGAGTGCGACTATTTGAACGCCCAGGAGTGTTGTCGACGGCTAAATTTCTGGGTAATACCTAAATTTGGCTCCCACGCCCTGCTTTGCGGCCTTCTCTTGCTGGGCGGACACTGGATAATGTTTTTGCTAAATCTGCCCATGGTCATTTGGCTATTTTACGAGCTGCATCGTCAGCGGCGGGATAGTTTAGGCGTCTACGACCCCGTGGATATACATAGTCGTGGATTGTTAAAGGTGCATTTAAGGAACTGCATGATCTATTTGGGCTACTACTTTGTCATGTTCTTTGTGGGGTTGTATTGGTAAGTACAAATTTCGAAATTCAGTTTGTAGCAGCTAACGATTTGGTTTATCTTTCTGTCCATAGCCTGATTTCATCGCTAATCAAGGGAGATCCCATCAAGCGGTACGAGGATGATGAAATTATCACAGACTTTTGAATTTTAGCTTAATACTAAGGCTCGACTCAAAGGGCTTCCAGATGAACGCACATTTTTGTTATCTGAATTTACACAAGTCAGCGATTTCAACACTCTATTGTCTTTGACTTCTTCGGCATTCTATAAACAGAGTTTATAATTTCAAAAACTTAACCAACCTAGTCGCACTTCATAATCATTTTATTTATTCCATTTTTAGTAATATAAGCGTATTCGATAAGACATCACAAAATACATAGCTATACAAATTCAACAACGCACTCTAGCTGATCTTTTGTTTATTGTAGAAAATCCACCACCTCCTCCAGCTCACGCTGGCGTGCCTGTTTCTGTGCCCAGCGTGCCTCGGCCGTTTTCACGCTAACCACCCAACGATCGTGGGCCAACTTAATGCCACACACAGCATTATCCAAATGCTTAGAGCTGGCTGCTGACGCTGCAACGCCCTGAACCGAACCCGCCCTGCTGCCCATGTAGGTTTGGGCATCAGATCTAGGGTGGCGTCGCTTGGCGGGACAGAGTTTCCCACCTCGGGGGAATGGAGGCTCGGCCAGGTATTGCTTAAGGCAGCCTTGGTGAAACACGTGACCACAGTACACACGTTCGATGTAGGAATCGGCATTCTCCTCCAGCTCAACATCCGCCGGATTGTTGGGCAAAACAGTGCTATCACAAATGGGACAACGTTCAACATGAAAGTCCCGGGTGGCCTCCAGGCAGAACTTTAGTGAACGATACATGCTCTTGGCTGGGCGAAAGTTGGCCAACTCATCTTTGCTTAGGCGATGCGGAGGTTCCACACACTGTCGGGCGATCTCCCTGGACTGTCCGTTGAGGTAGCGAACGAGAACTGCCGGCAAATTAGATTCCTGGCCTTTCAGCTCCACACATTGCACAGGATAGCTGTCGGGGACGACTGCCGTAACCCTGTAGGTATATTTCCCGCCTCTGGCTATCAACTCGACGCTGTTGTTCTTCTGCCGCAACTTTAGTTGACTCTCCACATGAGGAGACTCTCCATCGGCGAGCTCGGGACAGACCACTCGGGTCTTGATATCCACCCTCAACTGCTTTATTTCGTCGAGGCACACGCACAAGGGATTATCCGATAGATATTGCTGGGCAAATGACACGACCAGCAGAGCATGCGGTTTTCCCAAATAATCCCGGGCATGGTCATCAATTAGGCGGGTCAGCTCGGTGAGAAGCCTTTCCGAGTACGCCCGACTCTTTAATTCGACCAGAATGGGTGTACTCTTTGGGTAATCCTCAGGGAACCGCAAGCAGACAGTCATCAAGCGATTTGGTCGTTCAGGATAGATGTCAACTCTTATCAGGGAGCTGGAACAAATGATGATTCTACTATGCGGCACTTTCTTCTCACAGCTAGATCGAAAATCACTAACTTCCTGCTCAATAAAGTCCATATTGGAGGTTGAAGTGGGTTGGATTCTGATTAGTGGCTTTTTGTTGTTTCTTTTTTTATTGGACTGTTTTTGAACAGCTGTTCGCCTGCACTATTTGTAAAAAGGTGACGCAAAGAATTAATTTGTTTGGAAATTTGGAAAACGAAAACATTGACAACTAATTACTTTCTTTCCAATTCTATCGGAAATAAAGTAAAAACATTAATTGCCAATATCAGTTTCAGGTAAATTAAATCTTTTTAAGAAATCTTTGCGTCACCTTCTGCAACTTAGTGCTTGCGTGCGCGGTTTTGGGAACTTTGCAGCACTACACAGCTGACGCAAAAACTCAGCCACGTTGTGAAAACGCCGACAAAAATCTGACCGAATCGAAAAACTAACTAAATTAGAGCATATCAGATATGGTGCTGGATTTGGATCTGTTTCGCAGCGACAAGGGCGGCAATCCCAATGCCGTGCGCGACAACCAGAAGAAGCGCTTCAAAGATGTAGCCCTGGTGGAGACTGTGATTGAGAAAGACACCGAGTGGCGTCAGTGCCGTCATCGGGCCGACAACCTGAACAAGGTGAAGAATGTGTGCAGCAAGGTGATTGGCGAGAAGATGAAGAAGAAGGAGCCAGTGGGGGCCGTGAGCGAGGAGCTGCCTGCTGCGGTAACCACAAGCCTAACTGAGATTGTTCCCGAAACTCTGCAGCCGCTGACGGTCAACCAGATCAAGCAGCTGCGCGTGCTCATTGACGACGCCATGACGGAAAACCAAAAGTCCCTGGAGCTGGCGGAGCAGACCAGAAACACCTCTTTACGAGAGGTCGGCAATCACCTGCACGATTCGGTCCCTGTGTCTAACGATGAAGAGGAGAACCGCGTCGAGAGGACCTTTGGCGATTGCGAAAAGCGTGGCAAGTACTCGCATGTGGATCTGATTGTAATGATTGATGGCATGAATGCCGAGAAAGGATCTGTGGTATCTGGGGGACGCGGCTATTTCCTCACCGGTGCCGCTGTCTTTCTTGAGCAGGCGCTCATTCAACATGCCCTGCACTTGCTGTACGCTAAGGACTATGTTCCCCTATATACGCCCTTCTTTATGCGCAAGGAGGTGATGCAAGAGGTAGCCCAGCTCTCGCAGTTCGACGAGGAGCTCTACAAGGTGGTGGGCAAGGGAAGCGAGAAAGCTGAGGAGGCTGGCACCGACGAGAAGTATCTGATTGCCACCTCTGAGCAGCCCATTGCCGCCTATCATCGCGACGAATGGCTCCCGGAGGCTTCGCTACCCATAAAATATGCCGGCTTGTCCACGTGTTTCCGTCAGGAGGTAGGCTCCCATGGTCGCGACACTCGCGGCATATTCCGCGTGCATCAGTTTGAGAAGGTCGAACAGTTTGTGCTCACTTCCCCACACGACAACAAATCCTGGGAAATGATGGACGAGATGATTGGCAATGCCGAGCAGTTCTGTCAGTCGCTGGGTATTCCATATCGCGTTGTGAACATAGTGTCCGGTGCCCTCAATCATGCCGCCTCCAAGAAGTTAGATCTGGAGGCCTGGTTTGGCGGCAGCGGTGCCTACAGAGAGCTCGTCTCCTGCTCCAATTGCCTGGACTACCAGGCGCGTCGTCTGCTGGTTCGCTTTGGCCAAACCAAGAAGATGAACGCCGCCGTGGACTATGTACACATGTTGAATGCTACAATGTGCGCTGCTACACGTGTCATTTGCGCCATTCTGGAAACGCATCAGACAGAGACGGGCATCAAGGTGCCGGAACCACTCAAGAAATACATGCCGGCTAAGTTCCAAGATGAGATTCCGTTTGTCAAGCCCGCTCCCATCGATCTGGAGCTGGCCGCGGCCGAGAAACAGAAGGGAAAGAAGGACAAGAGCAAGAAGGATCCAGCTGCAGGTTAACCGAATACCTATCCGCGCCCCGTTATGATTAATAACTGCTAAAACTAAGCTTGCACAGTCCTCAAAATCTTTTGCTTATCTTTACGACTTATCTACTATTTATGGCATTTATGTGAACACTTTTTTTATCAATTAAAATGGATCAAGCTGTGCTTCGAATGCAATTCAATTGTTATTACTTTTATAGGTCCAACGATTGTTATGGGGACAGCCGAAACGGCCGGTAGAATTTCATGTTTCCAAGGCAACGTTTGAAACTTGTTTACCCTGTCTATCAATTTTATTTCACATTTCATATTTGAAATAAAGAAAACTGGAAATTTATACTTTGTGAAAATATATAAAAATTCACATTTCAATAAAAGATGTCTCATGCAAAACGTCGCGAAAAGTCCAAGTCCAAGGATACACGTTGGGATCGCATACGCAAGCGTCATCTAAATGCGAATTCTTTGGGCCTGAAGACAGATGCAGTGCGTCGCTTCATCGAAGTGGACTACGTGGGCAAGCGGCACGAGAAACTGCTGATAGAGGGCGAACAGGGAAAGCAATTGAATCCCAGTGTGATCATGGACATGCGCCATGAGATGGTGAGACGGATGCTTCTCCATATAATAGAATACCGGAGAGTAATGAGTCTCTTTTTCGAATATTTCAGTTTCAGAAAATACCGCACAAGCTGCCGCTAGCTACCCTGGCCCATGGCAGCTCATTAGAGTCCACCAAGGCTCACAATCTGGAGGTGGAGCAGCGCTATATCAACAATCAGTTGCAAAAGTTTCGCCAGCAGCTGGCCAGGCAGCACCCTCAGAGGAACAAGGCCATTCGAGTGCCGCCCACCAAGCCGGATTTCAAACTGAACAACGGTCCCCTGATGCAGAGTTTGACCCATGCCGCCCAGCACATTGATGATTTCTATAGCACTCCTGTCCAGGCCTTGGGCCAGGCGGCACAGATATGCTCGACCACAAAGAGTGTGGCCACCGCAAGCCTGCTCCACGAGCTGGGGGCCGAACGGGAGGCGGATGTGGACCACGAGTGGCTAGAGCAAGAGGCTCTGGTCGAGGAACTGCCCGACTTTAGGGTGGAGCAAGTAAAACCCTTGTCCATGGACTCCCTGGAGTATCGAAATTTCGCCAAACAAATTCAAGTGGATCAGAGTAAGGAGCTTCTCCTGCGCTGCCGTACACCCAGTCCGCTGACCTCCACCGAGGAGTTCTTCAAACCAATGCGAGCTGCTGCCGAGCGTCAGATGCTCCACGTTCGCACAATACGCCACGAGGAAGAGTTGCAGGAGCAGCAGTTAGAGCAGCCGCCACCAAAACTGCAGAGGGAACCCTCCACCTGCTCCAATACAAGCGATGGCATTGACTCGGTCATATCCGATCTGGCTGAGGAGGCATTGTACGAACTGCAAATGGAAGCGGCAGAAGAACAAAAAGAAAAGGAAAAGGACTTGGCGGTACCCACGAAGCATGTACAGTTCCAACTGCCGCCGAATAAGACACCTACACCCATTCCCATAGCAACTGTGGAGGAATCTGAGCCTGAACCAGAGCTAGAACCCTTACTCATCCGCCGCATAGAGCTTCCCAAAGTGCTGGTGGTGGTTAAGCCGAAGCAACCAGAGCCCACCCAAGAGGCGTCCAGTGCCAGTGAAGATGAGACCGACCTGGCCGCGACCCATGAGAAGCAGAAGATAATCGAGCAACTGTTTCAGGCCAGGGCCGTCACACAGATCGTGCTGATGCGCAAATATTTCCTCAAGTGGATACACTATACAACCCTCGAGAAGATCGAGCGAGAGCAGGGACATGCTAGTCAAGCGCGAGATAATCGCGTACAAAAGATCAACGCCTTTCTGGACAAGGTGCGGATGGAGAAAAAGCGCATACGCACGGCCCAGCAGGCGGACACGTCCAGCGAGGTCAACAAGGTCACTCAGCAGTCGCTGGAACAGCGCCAGGAGGCTGTCAAGATGGCCAAGCAGTACAAGAATAAGTATGACCTCCACTTATTGCTCTTTCAAACAATGGTTTATCTCATTTGTCCAAAAGATTGAAGGTGCAACAGGATATCATTGACCTGCAGAGGATCAAGTTGGAGCGGCAGGAACGTCTCATCATGCAGCTGAAGCTAAGCAAACTCAGCGACGAGGCCAAAGAGGCACGCGAGGATCTAAAGCAGGAGCTGAAGACAGTCATTCGATGCGGCGATCCCAAGGCAAAGGCCAAGGCCAAGTGCCTTCAGTTGATTGGCAGTCTCCGCGATGCCGATGATGAAGCAATGGCCAGGCTGCAGGGCAAGGCATTGCTGCAGCCCCGGTTCTTGCAGCACATGCAGGAACGGGCCGTGGAGAGGAGTGTGCGACATGAGCAGGCACGCCAGCGCCGAGCACAGGCCGAGGCCGAGCGGGAGGCCACCAAGCATGCCTTGGAGGAGGCCAAGGTAGGATGAATCTTTAATAATTATAGCATATATTGCCTATATACTTGTACATTTCCATTGCAGCGCCAAGAGGACGAAGAGGCCAAACGCCTGAGGATCGAGGTACTGAAGGAGAAACGCCGTCAAGAGAAAATGGCCAAGGTGTTGAAGGAGCGCGAGCGTCAGCGTTTTATCGAGAACACACGAAAGGCCACAGAGTTCAGTCGCCGCCTGTTGCTGCGCCGCGTGGGCATGGCGGCTTTTAAGCGTTTGCTGCAACGTAAGCGGGAGAATATGGTCAAGTCCGAGGAATTCCGACGACAATTGTACAAGAAGAATGCCTTCCAGTTCTGGCGCGGGTACACGGCATTCAGGCAGCGCGAGAAGATGGTGCGGGCAGAGCAGTGCTGGCAGCGCATTCTAAAGAGACGCGCCCTCAATGTCTGGATAGCGTACGTGCAGAATGAAAGAAGCAAAATGCTGGTGGCCATCGACTGGCATGCTCTTCGTACCGTCGAACACTGGTTTGACCGATGGCTCAAGTACACCACGCACTGTCGAATGGCTGAGGACACTAAGATGAAGCAGGCTATCTCCCACCACGAGTGGTATGTCCAACCTCCTGTGTTTAAAGTCCTCAGGGAACTTTTATATTGTTTGCATTTCTAGGCACCTGAAATGGAAGGTTCTGGACTGCTGGCAACGTCTACCTCAGATACTGAAAATAGAAAAGGAAACGGAGGAGCGACGCCAGCGCTGGCGCATGAAAATATGGGAGCTGTTGCCAGACTACAAGCCCCGAGAGGATAGTTTATGGTAGTTTAATTTTAGTTTCTTAATTATATTTATGTTGAATAGATTTGGATATTTGATTTAAGAGCCTTAAAAGCACTACTACTACTACAACTACCAAGAACATTTAGAGAGTGTGTGGAAATACTATAGTATTTGGGCGATAAGTTTTGTGCTTTGTTTGGTTTGGTAATTGGATCACTTTAGAATGGCACGCCAGTTGCTCCAGATGCGACTGCGATTGGCAGCTGCTGCGTTGGCTGCGCGTTTATATTCGTGGAGAGTGGTATCATTCCACCACAAGAATGCCTGGCGTGCCAGCAGGAAGGTTATATAATTGGCAATGAGTAGGCTATAGCAAGCCACCACAAAGGATATGCCCAATCTGTGGAAAGAGCTATAGTCATTGTCTACATAGATGTGTACTGTACTCACTCGAAACTCTCGAAGACTTCGCTGCAATCGTCCGGTAGGAGCACGGCATAACCGAATGGACGCAACACCAGAAAGGGATGACATATCGAAGTTAGGGTCAAATTAGCGCCCAATATCAAAGCGACCAGGGATGTGAATAGGCCTGATATATACCAGCTATGATTGCGCTCGCCAATGCAGCAGTTGAGCCAGTAGCTGTGATGGGAACGCCTCTTTACACAGGTGCCGCACACTTGGCAATGGTAGGCCCGTCTGGGCGTCACCTTCCGACAACTCTCACAGATGTTCGGTTGTCCATGCATCAGACCCGCACGCTCCGCTGTGTCTATGTCTACGACGTCCGCATCGTTGAGGTCTAGTACGCTTTCCATCTGGAGTGTGGTTTGCGCCTCCGCCTGCTCTTCGCCGCTTGATGCTTCTGCAATGCCGGGTAGCTCGTCCTTGGGTGTGGTGCCATACTGAGCCGAAACTAGATTGAGTGGAGCCAGGCGGTGCGTGCGATATAAACAATATATGCCCGCACAGGTGAAAAACATAAGGAAATAGTTCTCCTCCGGCACAAGTTCTAGCAATGGCACCTGACACTCAAATATGACGATCATGTAAAAGACGGAGAACACAGTCCAGCTAAGAAAGAAATTGGTCCGTGTGGCCGTTTTCTTGGCCAGCTGAAGACCCCAAATGGAGAAGCCCACCATGGTCAGCATGAGAACTATAGCAGTCTTGGAGTTCAAGGTGGCCAGTCCCAGCATGAGCGGAATTATGAAGGCTGGGGCAACAGCAGCCGGCGAAATCCGTTTGGCCCCGCCGCGCCACGGCAGGCGCAGGCGGTCTTGGAAGGCAATCAGCATGCCGTCTATATTGCGTGGATCAATGCGCCTACACGTGACTAATCTACAGATCCATCCAATCAAAACAAAACGATCATTGTAAAGAATTCAATGTGGTTTAAAGGGGTCCGTCTGCATACCGTGTGCATACCAAGTCAAAGTCCTCGCAATTACAACAGCATCCCAGGAGATGAGACTTCTGGTTGTTGGCTTGAGAAATATATTCGCAACAGCAAAGAGTCCTCTTGGCTTGGGCTTCGTCAGACTCTGCTTTCCTCGCCGCTGCAATGAAATCAGCAGCAGACATGACGAACATCGATTAGGCGAAAAAGACCGGCGATTGAACGTCAAGAATGGCAGCGTCCAGGCAGCGTGTACAGAAACAGTTTAGATAAGATTAATTCACGACCAATTGGCAGTCTGAATCTAAGTGTACAAGTGAACATAAGCTTCACTGTAGGAAGCATTTTAATTATTTTATCTGATCGACTGCGAAAAATACTCACACAGTTGGTCAACAAGAACAACAAATCGTCTGCACCCGGGTCACCCTGTAATTCATGTTAAATAAATCGCTATCCGCTGTCACGATTGTTTCGATAGTTGGTACTATTGGTTAGTGGTACTATTTAAATTTTATTTTTAAAATGCCCCGCTTTAGATTTTCGTCCGCCGTCCACACATTTTTGCTTTCAAAAGCTTTTCCCTTGTTAATAACATCTACGAACTGCTCAAGGCCACCGCCCACACCAAAGTAATGCGATTTTCCAGAAACTAAAACAATGCCATCGCCTCTCAGGCGACTGTTAAAGGTGTCCAGCAGCTTCTGTTGATTCTCTATGTTGTATATTGTCTCCGATGTCAGGATCATATCGTACTTTTCTGTGTCCAACGTGAGAAGAGCAAAATTTGACCAGTCACCGGAATAGAAACTCGTGTTTTCCTCTAAAAATTCTAATTTGTTATCATCCGAAAGATCCAACTGCACATTTAGCATAACATTTGGTATTGTTATTTGTTCCAAAACATCCTTGTTCTAAAGACATCAAATGACATGATTTCGTGGAAGTTGCTGTTGCTGTGTTTTTTTTTTTACTTACATAGTCTTGAAAGTCAACTTTTGCACCAGATTGTAGGGCATATATTCCCAACAATCCAGAGCCACATCCCAGGTCCAGGACTCTCTTGCCTTGCCAGTAACTGTCGTCATAGTTCTCCGATAAATATAGCAATAGATCGTCCGTACATTCCCATATTTTCGCACCACCTTCATAGACTCCTGCTATTAAATCCGAATGACTTTCCTCAGACTTCTTAATGTCGCGACTCTCCAGATCTCCTTGGATTTTTATGTCCTCAAGTAGAAACCCGGCTATGAGATGCCTTATTTCCGTATTGCCTACCTTCAGATCCTTGGCATTGAGTTCGTACAGATCCAGGCGAGATAACGCGGCTTTAGTCGGTTTAATTTGTTCTGCCTCATACCACACAATATCCTTGACAATTCCTGAATCCTCCTGCTCAGTTTTGTGTTCGCTATTCTCTGTAAATGGACTCTTAACTGCTTCTTCTGGCTCTACTTCAGTTTCTACTTCAAAATTGAATTTGAACATTTTAAAACGCTTGAGGCACCCGTTTTCGGTTCTTTCTGTCTGACAATGGTAAAGGCCTTCAAACGCGGAACTGTAATAGAACGTAGACAATCAAAAATGGTTATATATTTATTTATAAACATTTACCTATAAATTCAATGCCTCCGTCAGCTGGCAAGCACGCTTTTTTGACGTGTCAATCGATATGTGCCAGTAAATAGCGGCTATCGATTGCATTTTGGCTGCAACCCTGGTGTCGCACATCTCCAAAACTTGTTTTTTCGCAGGAAATATTTTGCCTGATAAATTTGTTTAATTTATGGCGGACCAATTGATCAACGAAGTAAGTTTGTTGTCATAAACATATGCCCTCAATAAATGTTTACTCAATTAGGGCGACCAGCCAGCGCCACTGATGTCCATCCGCCTCGACCAACAACTTGACGACAATGCAGTGACAGCGATCAATGGAAATGGTAATGGCAGTGTAGTGGATGCACCCGGCGACGCTGCTGAGGACAGTGTTGATGGTGAGAAACCGGCCGCTGAATTGGTTTTGCCCAAGGCTCTGGAGGACGTGCTTGCCCTGAAAGACCAACGAGTGGCCGAATTCGACGTGGATGCTGATTCCCTGGGTAACAGCGGGGGAGCCCTTCAGGACGGCGATGACGCCGATGTGGGGGAGGACAGTGATGATGATGCTGTGAACCAGGTGAACGGCATAGGAGGTGATAAAACGGGAAAGCAAAGCAAAGCGGAGAAGAACAAAAAAAAGAAACGCCGCAAGAAGCAGAATAGGAAAATACGCCAGCTTCTGGAGTACGAGAGACAACAACAGTTGGCCCACGTAGATGAGGCAGGAGGAGATCAGGAGGCCCCAGAGCCATTGGCCGAGGAGGCTAAAGCTCCGGCCAGTGACGAAGAGCAGGAGAAGCCAGACAAGGATAGTAGAAAGGACAAGCATAGAGACAGCCGAAGCAGGAAAAAGAAGGATCGCAGCGATGAGAAAGAAAAGGAAAAGAAGATCGCGGAGGGCAGCAAACTTGACGTAACAATTGAGTATGCTGTGGATTTTTTCGATTGAAATATTACCGGAGCTAATTAAATGATATTTGTTTATAGGTATGTGCCTGAGAAGATAACCATCGCAGATCTGGCGCCCATGTATCGCCAGTTCTACAGAGTTTTTGAACTCTTTAAGTTGGAAAATAAACCCAAGCCTGTGGAAAAGGACAAATTGGCCCTAGATTCGGAGACCGTGGCTAAAGCTAAAAAGGCCGCAGACAAGCTGCAGGACGACGATGACGATGATGGCGACGACGATGATGACCAAAAGGAGGACAAAGAGAAATTATCGAAAAGAAAGCTTAAGAAATTGACGCGTCTCAGTGTGGCGGAGCTTAAGCAATTAGTTTCCCGTCCCGATGTCGTTGAGATGCACGACGTGACGGCTCGTGATCCCAAGTTACTGGTCCAATTGAAGGCCTACCGAAATACAGTGCAAGTGCCTCGGCATTGGTGCTTCAAGCGGAAATATCTTCAGGGGAAACGTGGCATCGAGAAGCCACCATTCGATTTACCAGCCTTTATCAAGAAGACGGGCATCATGGAGATGCGAGAATCACTACAAGAGCGCGAAGATGCCAAGACGCTGAAGGCAAAGATGCGTGAACGTGTCCGCCCAAAGATGGGCAAGATCGACATTGATTACCAAAAACTTCACGATGCCTTCTTTAAGTGGCAAACAAAACCCCGCATGACCATCCATGGCGACCTCTACTACGAGGGCAAGGAATTTGAGACACGACTAAAGGAGAAGAAACCGGGCGATCTATCCGAAGAGCTGCGCATTGCTCTGGGCATGCCAGTGGGACCGAACTCGCACAAGATTCCACCGCCATGGTTGATTGCACAGCAGCGCTACGGACCGCCGCCGTCCTATCCGAATCTGAAAATTCCTGGACTCAATGCTCCCATTCCAGAGGGGACATCGTTTGGCTATCATGCAGGCGGCTGGGGTAAACCGCCTGTCGATGAGAATGGAAAGCCCTTGTATGGTGATGTATTTGGTACCAGTATATTGGACTTGGATGTTAGTATTGAAACGTTTCTCCATTTTTTTGTATTAATCTAATCTTGAAATCCTAAACACTTCTAGAACGGCATCGATGAAGCTGACATTGAGCGCAACCAATGGGGCGAACTGGAATCAGAGTCTGAAGAGTCCTCCGAAGAAGAGGAGGAAGATGGTGAAGATCTCGGCGATCAGCAGGATGAAACTGGTCTTGTTACCCCAGTCGAGGGTCTTGTGACACCTTCAGGGCTTACCAGTGTGCCAGCCGGCATGGAGACGCCCGAAAACATTGAACTACGTAAAAAGAAAATTGAAGCTGAAATGGAGGAGTAAGTGATAATATCCTGCTGGACCAGAACCAGACCAGACTCTTCACTAATCTCATAATATTCTTCCTTTCGATTAGCAATGAAACCCCCGTGCTGTATCAAGTGCTGCCGGAGAAGCGCACAGACCGCATAGGCGCTTCCATGATGGGATCTACGCACGTCTATGACGTTAGTGGTGGTAATGCGGCCAACAAACAGCCTCCCGCTCGGACCACTACGGATCGTGAGGGCATAGTGGAATTGGCCCTAGATCCCAGCGAATTGGACATGGACAATGACGCCATGGCCCAGCGATACGAGCAACAGATGCGCGAGCAACAGAATCACCTGCAGAAGGAGGATCTATCAGATATGTTAGCCGAACATGTGGCACGTCAAAAATCGAAGCGCAAGCGACAGCAAACGGATCCGGCAAAGGCCACAAAGAAGTACAAGGAGTTCAAGTTTTAGTTTAATCTTCTACAATATAAAGTAATTTTCCATTTGTGCTTCAAGAATGTCATTAAAAATAGTAACTAATGAGATTTGTATGCCCTTCCATATTTAATGGTGGAAAACGATGGAGCTGATTCCCCATTAACTTCCTTCATTTTTAATTTCTTCGTTGGATCTCTTGTGACAGTTCGATATTCGATTTAAATCATTTCGGCGACAATGGTAAAACACTCAGCAATCAGCTGATAGGATCTTCTTCCTTCCAGGATCTCCTCACTTTGTCTCGACCCTCAGGAACCGCGTGAATTGTGGAATTGGAGTTCCACAACAACAGACACCTGGTGGCACCTATAGCTGCTTAATGCTTCATATGGTACGAGAGTTTTCGGATCCTTCCCCCAATCCTCTCTGTTTCAATCATTTTAGCAAATGGAACTCTAATTGTCATCAGCGATATTCCATATAGAAATACATACATAGGATCTTATTAAAATAAAAAAGCAAAGGCTATAGGAAAAGGGAATATTCATTTTTGATCTTTGGAAATATCCTAAGTGTAAGAGATCGATAGAAGGAATCTGAATGCAGGAAGAACATCTAAAGCTCTCCCCCGAATGATCCGATGATCCCCCATCTATTCCAATCTTTGGTTGCTATTTCAAAGAGACTTTGAAGCTACTTTGGGCTACTACCATACCATGCTCACAATGCCAACCCCCACTCCATACAGTTTGCGGGATGAGCTATTTAATATATCAGTTACTCATAGTCCTTCACCAAGAAGGCTGTGAAAGGTAAGACAAAGCCTTTATTGTATTATTTTCAGAGTAGTGTTCTTTACGTTTAAGGAAGAGAAGTTTACGATAATGGTTGTATATTTCATTATCTAATGTCAAAAGTCAGTCAGTTAGTAACATTTTCCTTGCACCAATGCCTAAATTTGAGTATTTTATTGTTAGCCAGTTGGCCTACACTCGCCCTGCCACGAATGTCGCCTCATTTGCGTAACGGAAGACTTTTACTCTTCGTGGCTCTGATTTTCATACTTGTAAATGCAGAGGTCCCACAGCCGGCAGTCGAGGAGAGCATTCGCCTCGATGATGCTCTACTGGCGGAGCCCAGGCCCACGCCCGGACGGAGCATATTCTTTCACGAAACGAGCTGCTATGATGCCAAAAACAAAAATCTTAATATACTGAAGCTTACAGCCCGACAAGTCTGCGCTATCGAATCTGCTGCACTCCATAATCCGAATTTCCAAGTGTTCGTTTTGTTCGTTGACCGAAAATACAGTCTTGTTGTTGACCCCAACGTAGGGAATAGAAGCATCCAGCAGCCTCTTTTCGATGCCATCTTAAGCTATAGCAATGTCCATTTGCGGCGTCTAAATCTCTGGAGATATGCTGCAGGCACACCCATGGAAAAATGGCTCAGGGAGGGTAATCTGTTTCGCTCGCGGTAATTTGGAACTGAGAGATGTCCCTCCCAAAATGCAATAACATTTTCGTATTTCTAGATATCTGGCTTCCCACATCTCTGATTTTTTGCGTTATTTGACCCTGTTTCGATATGGCGGCCTGTATCTGGACTTGGATGTGGTCGTGCTGCAGAAAATGGAGGATGTGCCACCCAATTACACAGGAGTCGAGTCCGATCATATACTTACCGCTGGCATCATGAACTTAGCTGCCACTGGATTAGGTCATGAGATTGCCGAGTTCTGCCTGCTCGACTTTCAGCAAAACTTCAATGGTAGTATATGGGCCTATAATGGCCCAGGGGTTATTACACGCGTGGCCCAACAGCTTTGCGGCACTGATTACATCGCACTGATGCAGGATGATCGCAAAGGCTGCATGGGTTTGAAGGTATATGGGCGAGGCGCCTTCAGCCCTGTGGGTTCCCGTCAGTGGCGCGACCTTTTTGAGCCAGAAAAACTGGAGGAGACCATGGCCCGCACCAAGTACTCGTATGTGGTGCATGTGTGGAACAAGCAGTCGAAAAAGGTGCCAATCAAGGTTGGTTCAAGCAGCGCCTATGCCAAATTGGCAGAACAAAATTGCCCACGAGCCTATCATGCGGCGGGTGAATACTTCTAGGAGAATTTTATGAATTTTTATAATTGTTTCATCAATAAATTGATGTTCCTTATACTCTCTTTTTTCACCCGTTCGAAGGACTATTGCGGCTCAGATCGTTATCTTCCGTACCCCTATCAGAAGCCTAAGGAGACATGCACCCTTTGCGGTTGATCTTTACGGGACCAACTATGGCAATAATGAACCCATCTATAGGACTCTTCGCCAGCACAATGCGCTGCCAGCTAGAATGCGATTTGACTTTAGCCAGGGGAATGGAGCCATCAGAGAGTTGCATATAGATTTTCTTCTGTTTCATGTATAACTTTGTTATTTTTTTTATGTTTAAGATAGAAATATGTTAGTTTAGCCAGCTAAGGATTATTTTGATTCCCATACGGGGAACCATAGAACCATAGAAGAGGTAAATATTTTTCACCTACCTATCAGTAACCTAATGAGTGAACAATATCATTTAAAGTGCAAACATAATCAAGTATGCTTTGATATATTTGTGTGTATTACAGCGAACAATGTAGCCAGGACGAAAGGGGCCACGTGAACCGTCGAACGAATAAAGCAATAAACATTCGAATTAAAAGAGCAGAAAGAACAGACGAACGAAAAGGTACCTTATTGACACACTCAGTGAAAATGGTCACTCTCTTGAATTTTGGGAAAACCCCGATAAATATTCGAAGCTTCAGAATGGCTCAAATTATAAGCCTTTGAAATAAATTGTATACATCTTTTAGTATTATCGCCAGTAAGAAGACAATTGACACATCTATGAATCCGATTCAACTACTAATTTAAAATTGTATTTCCCAAAGGAGGCTGTTGAAAGAAAGACGAATTATGCCTTTACTATTTATTTTGGCCTTCAGGGAAGAACCTTGGACAAATATAAGTGTACTGAACTAATGTTTATAAGTGTTCTAAATTACTTTGTTGTCCAAATTTGAAAGAAGTTGTTTATCGAACTCAAAGTAAGCAAGGTATTGCAAGATAGTCCATCAATCTATACAGGAGTGCCCAATTTTCATAAAACCTTCAACATGATTCTGCGGTATTTTACCAACGGATTACTCCGATTGCTGTTCATGACTTTGATTGTGACTCTGATAGGTATCATTACACTCACATACAATTGGCCAAAAGGGGCAGACGTAGAGTCGGTGCCACAGTCGACAGTGGGAGCTGCAGAGGACCCTGAGCCGACAGCGGCATCTAGCGAGCCACTGGCGAGCATCCGTCTAGACGATGTTCTACTGGCGGAGCCCAGGCCCACGCCCGGACAGAGCATATTTTTCCACGAAACGAGCTCCTATGATGCCAAAAACAAACATCTTAATATCCTGAAGCTAACCGCCCGTCAATCGTGTGCTATCGAATCTGCTGCACTCCATAATCCGAATTTCCAAGTGTTCGTTTTGTTCGTTGACCGAAAATACAGTCTTGTTGTTGACCCCAACGTAGGGAATAGAAGCATCCAGCAGCCTCTTTTCGATGCCATCTTAAGCTATAGCAATGTCCATTTGCGGCGTCTAAATCTCTGGAGATATGCTGCAGGCACACCCATGGAAGAATGGCTCAGGGAGGGTAATCTGTTTCGCTCGCGGTAATTTGGAACTGAGAGATGTCCCTCCCAAAATGCAATAACATGTTCATATTTCCAGATATTTGGTCTCCCACATCTCTGATTTTCTGCGTTATTTGACCCTATTTCGCTATGGCGGCCTGTATCTGGACATGGATGTGGTCGTGCTTCGAAGAATGGAGGATATACCACCAAATTACACAGGAGCCGAGTCCGATACTTTCCTTGCCGCTGGCATCATGAACTTAGCAGCCAGTGGCTTTGGTCATCAGATTGCCGCCTCTTGTCTGCACGACTTTCAGACAAATTTCGATGGCAATGTTTGGGGGCAGAATGGCCCAGAGGTGATAACACGCGTGGCCCAACAGATTTGCGGGACCAAGAATATCTCAGTGATGCAGACGAATCGCAAACGCTGCTTGGGTTTTAAGGTGTTTGGTAGAGGCGCCTTCTACGCTGTGACCTCTGATAAGTGGCTGAACTTCTTTAATCCACATAAACTGGAGGAGACCTTGGCCCGCACCAAAGACTCGTATGCGGTGCATGTGTGGAACAGCCAATCGGAAAAGCAACCAATTAAGATTGGGTCAACCTGTGCCTATGCCAAATATGCCGAGAAAAATTGTCCACGCGCCTATCATGCTGCAGGTGAATACTTTTAGGAATTTTATCTTCAAGATTCTCTGAATTTTAAAATTGTAAACGTCTTATCATGGAACGGGCCAGTCATGATCGACGTCGGAGAATTGGGACTTTTATAAAATTAATATTTTGTTTTCTTTTACGTATGGACTAAGGGACTAAGCAGTACGAATACCCGTCTGAAGAATAGGCTATAAACTCACACATCCCTCGAGAGTAGGCCACATCATCATTCTTATTCCTTAAATTCTTCGTTTTGTTTTATTCTGTTGGAGGGACACAGACCAAAATCTATTAAATATAAATTAAAACATTTCTGTGTACACTCTAATGCTTTTGTTTGTTTTTTATACAATCAAACTTATTGCTTCTAAGAAATTACATTACGTGTTTGCTGTGTGACTTGTGCTGGGGCCAGAAACCAGGACTGGGGCTCGAGAAGGCAAGGATAGATGCAGGTGCACCATTAAAGATTTTAAGCTTGCGTTGGAAGAGCCACAGCTGCACCCGAATTAGAAAATTAGGAGTTTTCCCACACGCTGTCTATGATGGTCTACGCTGGCAGTACAGTACACGCTGGCGGCAGTCATTCGTCCAGCTGCTCATTGAGTTGTGCCAGGAGTGCTGCTCGCTTTGATTCCAGTTCGCCGTCGCTTAACGTTAGTTCCTCGTTACGTGAGCCTCCAGAATCCATGGACTGGACAGGACTGAGTGGTGACGTGGAACGATTGTGTCTGTTGTGTCGTTTGCCTTCTTTGTCTTTTTTGGAACGCTTTTCCTTTTTCTTCTTCTTGGCTGGCGAATGCGAGTTTGAATCGGTATGCAGGAGCGCCAAGCTAGGCGACAGATTCCCACCTAAATCTGACTCACATGACGACTGAAAACAAAAGCCAAAAAATTAGATTCCAAAACGGGAAGATTGGTGTGTATGACTTACGCCCCGCAGTTTGTTCTTGCGTTTCTTTTTCTTCTTCAGCAGCTTTTCGCTCTCGATGCTGCCAATGGAGCTCAGTGAATGCTGTAGAACCAGAAGTAAGAACCATTAATGGTTTCGGAATTTTTCAAACTACTTACGGAACGGGATTTGGATCGCCTTCGTTTTGACTTTTCCACCTCAACCATTTCATTTTCAATGTCCGATCTTGATGTAGATCTCACTCGCTTTTTGTGCTTCTTATTCTTTTTCGATTTACGCGACCGGGAATGATGATGGCTGCAGGCATCTTCGCTTTCCTTAATGAAGTCTTCCCAGATTTTCTCAACACCGATTTCCTTCTCGTAAACAGCAAATGCCTCCAAGTGCTCCACCAGCTTCTTGGCGCTGTCATAGGTCTCGGCCACAGACACATTAGCCTCGAGCCATTCGTTTTTAATTTCATTCTCCAGTTTTCGCAGTCGTCGCACCTCTTCCTTCATGCGCTCTTTTTCAATGGCCTCCGCCTATAAAAAAAAAGTGTTTGTATTGCGAACTCTAAGCTAATCCTTACCATTTCCATACCTTTTCTAGCAGAGAATTATAGGTTAGCTTCACGTTGCCTGCATCCAGGCTGGCCGAACGTTTATCCTCGCACACCACCGTGGCAAAGTCCTCGAATGATGTCTTGGCCTGCACCACAAATGCCTTTTCTTTGAGAATCTCTCGTATGATTTTCCGTTCGTCATGGAACCGAGCCTTCAGATTCTCCACGTAGAACTTGAACAGATCCAAAGGCGTTGATCCGCTCTGCCCGAGCATGGCCGAGAAGCGTAGGTCCGCGGATATGATGGGATACAGCTCCACCCACAGCGACATGGAGGTGAGTTTGCCCTCTTCGTGAAGGGAGTCGAGGAGTGCCAGAAAGGAGTCTCGATTCTTGCGCTGCTGTCGCTTCATTCGCTTCTTCTCCCGCTCGCGTTCCTCCTCCTCTTCCTTTTCCAGCGTGCGTATGTGCTCCTCGAAAACAATTAGAGCATCCTCCTTGTCCATGCCCAAAAGGGTCACATCGTTTTTGAATGCGGCATTGTCTAGGAGCATAACCTGAGCTTCGGACCAGGTGGTGGCATGATTGATGGATGTCATAGACTCCAGAAGCTCGCCCAACACCTTCATATTGCGCTTCTTCAAGACACGCGCCTCTTCTTTCTCCCTTTTGCCAAGATTGAATATGCAATCCTCATAGATATCCCGTCGATCTGTTTCAGGCACTACGGTCCATGTCCGATTCCCTGCAAAGACCTCCTCACAGCGGAAATACTTCATCTGGGAGTTCATCTTATCGCTGGACATAAGGAATTGTTCCAGGTCCTCTTTCGCCTTTTTGGCCTTCAGCCGCGACTCTTCTCGCTCGTCCTTCACCTTCTGCGTCTTGTAGGCATTGAACGTTTGCTTGCGCTCGTTGAGGTTCTTGAAGGCGCTGTAGCGCGGATCCTTTGATATTATCTTCACACACTGATCCCAATTGGCATTTGAGGGCACATTGCGGTCCCGGAGTAAGTCCTTGAATGCTTCTATGGCCTCGCGCTTGTCCTTAAACACCAGAGGACTGCCATCCGATGACTTTTCATCCTTTTTAGCTAAAATAATTCCATAGAGCAATCAGTCCCGAAGTTACGTTAGGGTCAGACGCACTCACCATTCGGTTGTGGCACTTCGATGGCGGCTAATGTGGCTGCCATGGCCTGATCGAGAGCCGATGATGAGTTCTCGTTACTGCTCGGCGTAAGCGGCGAATGAATCTCGGGCGTGGGTATCCTTGGGTCTGCGGGCAAAGCAGCTGGCAAAATACTTGCCAATGCAACATGCGGAAGCAGTCCCGTCAAACTGGAGGATGTCATGGCTGCCACCGCTTTGGCTGCAGCTGCAGCTCTGAAACCAATCCAAGGGAGAGCCAAGGGTGAGTAAATAGAATAGTCAATAGCTGTGGAGCCAGTGTACTTACTCCTCCGCCTTAGCCTTTGCCTTCATGTCTACATATTCCGGCGGCGGCTCCCAGCAAGTCTCCTTAGTGGCCACATTGTGGTAATACACTTTGCCCGTATCAGAGCGGTATTCCTTCCAGGGGCACTGATTGTGCAGCTGTTCGGCGGGCGTCATCAGAGCCTCGGGTTTCTCCCACGAACTTTGCTTTGTATTTTGATTGTAGTAATAAGGGCGTCCATCTGGGGCCTTGTGCTCTGTCCACTCTGTGTTGGAGGCCATCACACCGAATGCCGCTGCCAGTTCGGGCGGTGGGGGAGCAGCAAAGCCGGGCGGGGGAAATTGTGGCACTATGGCAGCCGGCGGCGTGTATCCCATTCCCCTGCCGACCGCTGCTGCTCCATTTCCAGCGCTAGGAGGAACATTCATTTCACTATTTTTCTATATTTTATTTAAGCGGTACTACGTCTACCGGTCGTTGCGTATGCGATGCGGCCGCCAGTAGAATTTTTATATCGACGTAAATGAAAAAAATTCAATGAAAACGCCGCTTTCCACACATTTGATATATCGCTGGGTTTCTTTTCACAGCTATCGATAACATATCGCAAAATGCAAATTTAATTAGAGATGGGTCCTCTATCTTTGCACGATGATCATATAGCGAAGATAAAATATAGATAGAATATATATGAAGACTTGATAAGATATAATTAGAATTTCCAACTTGTAGGAATACATATCTTGCGGCCGGGAGGTTAATTGAGAGGTAAAAGTAAACTCATATCTATGTACAGTTTGCGTGTATCGTATATACCGTTAAGACATCTGGCTCGAAAACAACGAACAGCGCATCACTGACAGGTAATGTACATACATACATAGGTGTCGTTATCGCCCTCGGCTTGCAATTTATATTAGCAAAACATTGTAAAACAGACGTTCCGGACTTTTCTTTTCTTACCCACCAGAGTGCATTGGATTATGTTGAGAGCAATGGCAGTGTAACCGCGCACTCGGAGTAAGCAAGTTGTTGCCTTTTCTTTGGCCATAACATCTCTAAGGAGTGTCAATTTTTTAACCAGCCCGCCTGCCCTCGCCATGCTCCTGCGTCTGCCTTTGCTGCTGGTGGCGCGTTATTTGCACAACGGAAGACTTCGATTGCTGTTCGTGGCACTGATTGTTATGCTGATAGGTGGCATTGCCCTCACATACAATTGGCAAAATGATTTGCAGCAGTGCTTCATGGACATCGAAGAGGCAATACAGTCGACAGTGTCTAATGCAGATGCAGATCCGCTGGCACCCATCCGCCTAGAGGATGTTCTGCAGGCGGAGCCCAGGCCCACGCCTGGACGGAGCATATTCTTTCACGAAACCAGTTGCCACCAGGCCGAGAACAAAAAGTACAAATTGCTGGAGCTAACCGCCCGTCAAGCCTGCGCAATCGAATCTGCTGCATTGCATAATCCGAATTTCCAGGTGTTCGTCTTGTTCGCCGGTCCCACCTACCGACCTTCACCCAAGGGGCGAAATAACAGCAACCAGCAGCCGCTTGTCGATGCCATTTTAAGCTATAGCAATGTCCATTTGAGGAATCTGAATCTCTGGCGCTACGCTGCGGGCACACCCATCGAGGAATGGCTCAAGGACGGTAGTCTGTTTCGTTCGCGGTAAGCTGTATCTCAGAAGCGTGAATCCGAAAATTCAATAACGTCTTCATATTTTTAGATATTTGTTTTCCCACATCTCTGATTTCCTGCGTTACTTGACACTGTATCGCTATGGTGGCCTGTATCTGGACATGGATGTGGTCGTGCTGCAGAAAATGGAGGATGTGCCACCCAATTACACAGGAGCCGAGTCCAATACTCACCTTGCCGCTGGCGTCATGAGCTTAGCTGCCACTGGCTTTGGCCATGAGATTGCCGAGTCCTGTTTGCGCGACTTTCAACACAATTTCGCAGGCAAAGATTGGGGAAACAATGGCCCAGGCGTGATAACACGCGTGGCCCAGCAGATTTGTGGCACCAAGGATATCACCCTGATGCAGGAGGATAGCAAACGCTGCTTGGGCTTCAAGGTGTATGGGCGAGGCGCCTTCTACGCTGTGCCGTGGAAGCAGTGGCGGGACTTCTTCGAGCCCGAAAAACTGGAGGAGACCATGGGCCGCACCAAAGACTCGTATGTGGTGCATGTATGGAACAAGCACTCGAATCAGCTACCGATCAAGGTTGGTTCAAACAACGCCTATGCCAAATATGCCGAACAAAATTGCCCGCGAGCCTATCGTGCGGCGGGCGAATACTTCTAGAAGTATTATCTAAAAAGTTCTCTTCATTTAAGTCTTTTGTATATGGATATTTCCCGCTGAAGTCCAAAGAATTATCGCCCAGCGAGTCATCGTTTATAGGTTTTATGTGTTGCTAATTTTTTTATTTCTTACTATGTCTACTTATTATTATGTTGGCAAACCACGCATTCCGATATAAAAAACAAACACATACATGTATAGAACGGCTATGGCTATTCAGATACATACTAACTCACATTTATTATCTCAAATACTCATTCTGTTGATTCGCTGAAAACGAATCTATATTTATATTTGCACAATATTATTTGCATTACTCTTGGAAATTAATTCTGATAACAGTACACTAACAAATGAACAAAATGAAAAAGGCTATCAGTCGGTGAGTCGAAAATTGAAATATGTATGTACGATGCATGATTCACCGGAAACCGAGGAAGAGGTTAAAGATAAGAATTCGAAACAGTAGTAAGATATCTCCTAAGTATTTTCGGTAGTAAACACGTATGTATATTCAATGATCTGGGGGAATGTATACAAATATTTTGTAAAAATATATCGTCTTGGAGGCAACTCCTTGAACATGGGGTACGGTACGGTACTCGTAAATGGTGCACATAACTCACATAGTCTGGATGGATGTATACAATAGAAAATAAATATATGAAATATATTTGTAAAAGCTTATTTCCAATCGTACAGAGCAACAAATTTTGTATTAAAAATATGTAAATTATGTGTTAAGCGATTCTCAATCCCTTTTATGTGCAAAAGTGTTCTCTAAATAGTTTGCACCATTTTCTAAAACGAAATGTGGCTACACATCCTTTCTGATGATATGGTCCTTCACATGCACTGCACCTGGGAGAAGCGCAGACAGGCTCCAACATTGTCTTCAGCATTTGCCTTACCCACACCCACGCCATCGCCAAAATGAACGCCAATGTAGAAGGGGGTGACGGTACTTTCTATGCGGCATGGCCGAATGCCCGATGAGCAGAACTGGGCACCACAGTGGACGGGCTCACAGCCGGGCAGGGGACCCAGGCCAGTACCAATGAAGTCTTCGATGATGCAGGGCATTGTTATGCGATCCGTGCAGGTGCTGAAGAATTGTCGGGCCTCGCGACGACGCCGCCGTCGCAGTTGCAAATCAAAAGCGTTCCGTAAGAAGCCGAAAAGATCGAATCCTCCACTAGGCCTGCTGCCCACCGGCCGTGGACGTCGTGAAAAACCGGGCTCTTCTGTGGTTGGAGGACTTCTAAAGAAAAGGAAGCCACCATCGTTGTCGCCGTCATCGTCGACACCATCCTCCCCACCTGAACCTTCCACATCATCGCTGGCCGGTGAAGAAGCTGGCGCCTCAGAGGAAGATGTGCTCTCTTCGGTGGCGGCCACTGTGCTGGAGCGTAGAGGAGCCGGAGTGGTGCTTGTTGTCGTCGTGGTCATGGCTGCTGTGCTGCTGCTGGCGGTCGAACTAGTCCCCGATGACGCCGCTGCAGTAGAATTGCTCGACATCATCGACATCAATGTCGTGGTGGTAGAGTTGGCCATGCTAGCCAGCATCTGCATCAGGCTTGTAGACGTTGGAGCCGATGTAGTCGTTCCCCCATTAGCTGGGGCAGCTGGTCCTCCTCCACCTGCATTATCGGACTGTGCCATAGCTGGATCAGGATTCGCAGCTGGCCCAATTCCGTCGTCATTCAACGAGAAAGCTGTTGTTCCCGAAGCCATTCTCCCACCTCCACCAATCCGAAATGACTGCTCATCGCAAGGCTGATATATAATCGAGCACATATCCGTCTCCTGGCGCACACAAATGCGATAGTTCTGGTTGGCTAGGTGCCTTCCATTCTCGGCAAAGTTGAAGGTCTGCATGACGCCCTCGATACCCGTGTGGTACTGCAGACAACCCGCCGGAGCTCGCTGGCTGAAGGGTATCTGCACCACGCTCATCTCCCAAATGCGGAGTGGCAGAAACCGATTGGACAGGTTGAGATTGATGTCAATGAAGCGATCACCAGTGGCATTGCTCGGGCTGCTCACATTGACTGCATCAACGGGACGTAGGCTGCCATACAATGGGGATTGACGTGGCGAGGCACGAGCTCCAACATCATAGTACACTGAAGGGGAGAAGGAATGAGATTAGGGAGGATATCATCATCTAGGAATACTGATCATCTCACAATGCTGTCCACTATTCTGACCGCAAAGGGAGATGGATCCGCCTGGCCCTCCACTGATGTTGAATACATCGCCCTCACAGACGCCCGTGCGTCGATTCGGTTGTCCCAGCGTAAAGTGATGAAAGTCGATCCTCAACTGGCTGATATCATCGCTCATCATTTTGACCTTTAGACTGCAGCCACTGAAATTTGTGGGCATGAAACTGGGAAAACTAGGCGAGACGATATAGGTGATGTTGTTGGTTATGGTGACATTGCAGCTGGCCAAAAAGACACAACAGACACCGAATCCCATGGCACATTCACCCTGGGCCTGGCCACCCTTTTGGCGGCACTCGTAAGCATTCAGGCAGTTGCCCATGCGACGACCATCGTTGGACAGGCATTCCCCATCGACGGGCACAGGAAACAGATGAATCACTGGTGTGGTGCGGATATAAAAAGAGATTCAATTGGGAAAGCACCTTGGGATTGTCTTTAACGTACCCTTGCCATGTCTGCTATTCCCTCCCAGACTCTGATTGAGACTCTGCTCGGGGATGGCTGGCTGCGCCACCTCTACTTGTTCCTGGATTTCAATGGCAGTCACCTCATCCCCCTCTTCCTCTGTGTCCGATTCATTTTGATTGTCGTTCCAAATATCATAATGATACATGGGTGGCCAGGCGGTTTCATTGGCGGGCGCCAATGATGATGCCGATGCAGGAGCGAGGCTCTGCCGATCCACCAACAATATGCAAAGTGTAGCAATGAATGGCTGCAGCAGGTTGCCAGTAGAACCACTGCCACAACCGGCTCCAGCAATAACTTTCTTTTTTCTTTCACTGCTGCCGCTGCTGTGGCTGCTGCCTCGTAATATCGCGGCTATATGGCAATTGGACTTGTTGTTCGCATCTCCGCTTTGCGACATCAGCATTTTTATGGCTTCCATGTCCATGCCATGTGTTCAGCTGCTGTGGACTCCTTCTGCTACAGGCTCTGCTTCACCACTCCGTATTTTTTGTTGAGCGCGTGCGTTTCGCTGCAAAGTTGAATGAAAAGTGCGCCCGTCTCCACATCTCCAGGTGCTTGGATGCTGCTGTGTCTCTGTGGTTTCTGTCTCTGCCCGGGTCGGGACTGCTTTTCTCTGCTCTGCTCACCCAGTTGTGGCTGTCTTCTCGTCTCTAATCTCTACTTACTTGCTATTTTCGGCGGTGTAATGTTCCATTTTGTTTGCTGACTCGGTCATTGGGACTGACTGCTCTAACTGTGTCGAGTATTGAGTGCAGACTTCCAACTGCTGAGAGAGATGCTTTGATTTCAGAAGAAGTATTTAACACAGATTACACAGGCAGGCCATTTCGAACATTTTAAACTTTTCTACACTAACTGTTTGTTTGTGCATATATGGGCTTTCCCAAGATGTTCTGCAAAGTGCATTACTTAAATATTCCATTTCTTATTTTGTGGAGCTATATTATGGGGCTCGCTGGTAGATCCGTGGCGTACCGAAGCACCGTAAAGGAGGACGTTGTACCAGTATTTAGAATACCTCGTATATACCTATTTGAAACTTTCTTTTCCGAGAATGCTAGAAGACCGTCCGTTATAACCTTGTCCTTAGTTGATTATTTCTCAGTCAAGAACAAGAAGTTTTAAGGACTAGAATTATTTAATTTAGAAGACTGAAAGCTGCCGCAGATCCTCTTCATTCTTCTATGCATCATCGGTTGAAATCTTTGAACAAAACTGCAGCTAGAGGAATTTTGTAAGTCTGCGGACAATACAATAATCGTCTGATAGATCACTTAAACATTGCACCTCCCATCTCATATTTGGCTATCACTTCAACATACATATCACTGACAGATCTCCTTACCGTTCCTTTCACACGCTTTCATACGATGCTTATCCCCTCGTTTAAGCCAATCCGCGTCAAAGCAAAAGCGGCCAAAAGGAAGGTTGCCTTGCATATTTAATGAGTATTTAAAACCCACATGTTCACACCCTGATGATTCTCTCAGGCGCGACCGAAACCGCGGCCGGACAGTGCATGAATTAGCTGAACAACAAAACAAAACACAAAAAAGCTACAAAAAGTGGGGGCTTTGTGTCTTGTGTGTTGCATTTTGTGCAATTTCTTGCTGCATCATCCTGTCCCAGAAGCACTGATCTTTCTGAATGAAATGTGATATGGGGCCAAATTGGCCAAGAAAAATCAGGTTAAACAGCTCTGTGGTAATTTGCGTTTGTATGTGCATGAACATGTCTCAGAATGGGTTGCGATCATGTAAGGTCCCGGTCCAGTCCAGAAAAGCGTAGAAAGCCAACAAAAGCAAGGCTGCTAATGTGCTTAGATTTATTTATTACACATTTTGTGGGGAGTGGGAAAGGTACTGGTAGTCTGCAGAAGAAATCCCAGAATCGTATCCAAAGGAAATCCATAGTAGCATCGTTAATTGTTTATGGAAATATTTGTTGCATTTTGTATTTTGATTTAGCAAAGACATTAGTATTTCCTCAAAAATAACAGTCAAAGTTTACAATAATTGTAAAAAAAAATAGTTATGAGAATACGGCCATCAACAGAAAAACAGATCATCATCCACATCATCGTCGGGGTAGCTACTTTAGATTAATTAAAAAAAGTGATCCTATGAAATGATCGGCATTGGAAAGTTTCCTCTAAATCGAAAATAAACAACAATGGAGTTGATTATTTGATTTTGTGGAGTCATCCTTTCAGTTGAGTTGAGCAGAGCAGAGCAGAGCAGTGCGATCGATTCGCATCCAAATCGGTTAGCTTTAAGACCAGTTAAAGCTCGATTTCAAAGCTGAATCACTATACAAGTACTGTTAGGGGAACACAATATACCTATCCCATGATTTAGCATCCGTTGATGGCGTACTCTGAAACATTTTTTTGAGTATTCTTTCGCTTTTTTGTGGTCTCTCGGGTCTTAAGCTTAGGTTGTGGTTTGAACTTTGTACAATGTTTTAGGATTAAATATTACGGATAAGTTAGGATTAAATGTTTACTTATGTCTAAGTGTTAGCCCGGTTTAGGTTCTGTGTGTGTGTTTCTGTGTGGGTGTGCTTAGAGCGGCTCCAGGGCAGCGGGTCCGTGCGGACTGCCCTCCAGTTTGCGCCAGACCACGTTGCACATCTCGCGCACCAGCGCCTTCTCGCCATCGTCCATCTGATCGAGGGCACTGCCAGCCAAATTGCCCAGTCGGTCGCGTTCCAGTTGCTCTCGCACCTCCAGCACTTGGAGGGCCCGCACCACCGCCTCCGGACGGCCAGCAATCGGTTCTGGCAGCTGTATGGCCGCTGCGGCTGCCGCTGCTGCAGCCACCGCCTGCTGTTGGCTGCTGCTGCTGCTGTTGATCTCCTGCTGATGGGGCGAGGGCGCTGATTTGGCTGGTGCTGTGGCTGGCTGTGGCGTTGGTGTGGCGGCCTGAGGCGTGGGCGTGGGCTGCTGCATATGGGCTGTTGGCGTGGTGCGTTCCTCCTCCAGCTGCTGGATGCGTCGTTCCAGCGAGCGCACATACTGAAGCGTCTGATCGTTCAGCGTGTGGGCATGACGTAGATCCTGCATATGAGTCACATTATAAGATGATTCTGGTGGTGGTGGCGGCTTCTTTATGTGGCTGCTCACCTGGGGGAGTTGGCGCTGCTCAGCATAGTTTCGCAAGGCTGTGATGGTCTCATCCGCTTGGGTGCTGGAGCTGGAGCCGTCGCCGTCGTCGCGCAGGGCATTCCTGGTGGCCGCACCACACCCGGCGCACAGCGCATTGGCAGCCACATGGGCACGCTCCTCGTCCAAGTACAGGCAGAGCTCCTTCAGCTCCAGATTGTCGGTGATTAGCTCTTGCTGTTTGTCATCCAACTGACGTAGTTTGTTCTGAAAGAATACACATTCCCATTAGGCATACGGATCAATTGATTTTCGATCTGCTTTCACTCACCTGATAGGCAGCCACCTCTTGGCGCATTACACTGGCCGTGTAACGACCAAAGCGTTGCCATTCCCTGGCCAACTTGCGTCCCTTCTGCCGATCGTCATCCAGGAAACAGCACAGATCCCTCAGCTCCTGGTTGTCATCCAGCAGCCGCTGATTCTGCTCCTTGAGGGTGCGAAGCTCATTCACCAGCGACTGCAGCTGGCGATTCTGTTCCACCGTCAGGCGTCCACCTCCATTGGCCGTGGGTATACCAGTGCCGCTGGACGTGACCGAGGCATTGGGCGATGGATGTTCCTGTTCCGGCTTGCGTACAAACTTCAGCATATCCTGTGCTCCTCCCTTTAAAACAGCCGGATGTTGCAGATAGCGTGTTTGCTGTGGATGCTGCTGCTGCTGCTGTTGCTTGAGCGAGTCTGGTATGTAGATGTTGGATAGCTGGGGTATATCCGGCGGATATTTAATGGGCAAATGTGGTTTCAGTATCCCCGTGCCTGGCTGTGGCGGTGGCTGGTATCTAGGTGGTATGGAGTGTGCGGGTGCTGGTGCCTTAAGGTTTGGACTGCGAAGGGAGTGCTGCTGCTGCTGCTGCTGCAATTGGTAGAAGCTGCGACGTTGATGCTGCTGCTGGTGCTGCTGCTGTTGATGTGTTGCAAGATTGGGCAATTCTTTAGTGGATTGCTGTTGTATGGGCAAGCGAGAAGTCAATGTCTGATGATGATGTTGCTGCTGCTGCTGCTGTTGCTGTTGCGTGGAGTGTGGCTGATGGATTGTGGCCACAGTCTGCAATTGATGTGATTGTTGTTGCTGCTGCTGCTGCTGCTTCTTTCCTGCTGTCGTTACGCTTTGTTGCTGCGTTGAGTGTGGCACTGTCTGCTGTTGCTGCTGTAATGTAGCTGCTGCTGTTGGTGGCAACAAAGAGCGTCTTGGTAGCTGCTGTTGCTGCTGCTGCTGCTGCTGTTGCTTGCTAATTGCCTGCGTCGCTGTTTTGCTTATAATTTTGTCAACGCTATTTGTTTTTATCAAATTATTGTTCAAAGTGGTTGTTCCGTTTGTTGTTGCTGCTGCTGCTGCTGCTACTGCTGCTGTTAATGTTGTTGTGGTTAATGTCTTCTGCTGGTTTTGTTGCTGCTGTTGATTGCCGGACATTTTTGAGTCGGTTCCTTGTTTGCCTTGTCTTATATTTTCGGTTTTTTTTTTTCTTTTTTGTTTCCTTTTAGTTGTCTTTAAGTGGTGTCTACGACCTCAGAGACCTGCAATACATAAAAAATGGGCAAGGCATTAGCAAAAAAAAATTTAAAAAAAATTGTGGATGGATGGAAAAAAAACTATAAATCAAGGCATTGTACAATGTAATTTATGCGACAGCCGAGGGCACGCCGTCATTGTAGCATAATTAAACTTCCATTAGACTGCCGCCAGACGCTGATAGAAAGTGAAATGAGCATTTGTCGCACCACTGAAGCCATGACATGCCACACGAGTCGGGCCGCCGCCCTCTCTATCTCTAAAACACTGAGAAAAAACTCGAGTATTTGATTCAGGTATTCGCCCGACTAGAATCTATCGATAAAGTATCCAGATATCCACTGAGTGGATCTCAGACTATGTTAAACAAAACTTCCTTTTGAAAAAGTTCACCAGTAATGCACATTACATGTACTTTGTTTTTGGACTCATTCGCATTCTCTTTTGCAATACATCAAAGAGCAGGACTGGCTGTTTGAGTAATATTTTCTTTAAAATTTAGTACATTTCAGCACATAAATTAGGTATTTTTGGACATACAGCTGATCTTCCAGGCTAATCCTTATCGAATCACGAAATTCCTACTATTTATATTTTCTAGTGTAATTGAATACGAAATTTTTCCCAGTGCATGTGTCTTGTGCTCAAGAAAATGCAACGAAGCGGCGCCAAAAACTCCATTTGACGTAGGGAATTGTAATGTAAACTGTATGGTATGGTCGTATTGTCTCCCAGGCTCTAGCACTCCCGGATGGGTGGGGATGGGGCTGGCGCTGAAGCGTCTAATCACCAGATGGCGTCTCTATGTGTTGACTTAAACGTAGGCTTCCGCAGTCTGGTTTGAAAACTGAAAGCCCACTAAGTACCGCTGCACCAGCAGTAAATCGCAGTGACTCGAATCGGTCTATCGTCGCATTTGTATCTAAAAAGTGAAATTCAGTTCATGGTTTGATGGATGGGACTCTCGGCGCAGGCGCAATTGAAATGTTACTCACATGTTAGTAATTTGGATGCCCACTCTTTCGCTTAATGAATAGAGTGGGCTTTATTAGAACCACAACCACAAACAATGGACTTTCTTTGACATCTGTTTTGGTTCAATAAATTTCTAACAATTAGGTAAAATTTGCTTGAAGTGGTTTTTCAGTGTTTAGTGATATGGAAAACTGAGAGCCGATATCATTTTTTAGGATAGATTTTTGAGGCGATCCCTGATCCTGTCTCCTAAGAAAGCATCCTGATTTTTCTGAAAATGCTCCTATAATTGGGATACTAATCATTCATTACACTCTAAGTAGAGCTTAAGTTTTACTCGTTACTCATTATTTGTTCCAGCTGTTATTCCTGCGAGTCCCTCTCTCACATTGTGGCTGAACAATTGCCTATGTTTTAACATAGAACTTGTCCTTGTAGCCAGAATGGAATTGCCAAGCCAGCCAGGATGGCTCTTAAGCTCTAGAAATTATGTGTAATCTACAAAAGAGAACATCTGGATCACATTTACCACAGAACAAAGAGAGAGAGTGGGATCCTCACCCTTTTTCTTGGGCTATTTAGGCTGTCAACTTGCCAGCTACATATCAGCCCAAGCCCTGGAACGCGAATGCGTGCTTCTCCCCTTACAAATGTCCATCGAGGGGTAAGAAAAATGACAACAGGTGTGAATTGTAAGTTGCCCGCGAATCGAATGATGAGAAACGCTGCACAAAGGTAACCACATCCCCATTGAGATGTTTCGGGTATGCAAAATTGCAGAAGAAAAACCTTTTGGCCAAACCAAAAAAAAAAGAGAAAAAAAAGAATTGGCAACATAACAAAAGAATGCGGTGAGGGCCTGGCCCCCGGTTCAGGCCTGGCCCTTCATTGTTGTTTGCCGGACAGGCGGACAAACAGACGGACAGAGAGTGGGATCTGTGGGCATATTCTGAAAAGAAAACTTACAAAACACGGCAACAGTTGTAAATCATCGAATTACCTCAAAATAATAGCAATCGCTCGCTGGCCGTTTGGGGGGGCCGCAGCCGCCTGCAAATTGCCCAAAAGCAAAACGAACCGAGCCCCACACAAAAGAAACTGCAAAAACAAGTACGGATTGGTGGGGGGAATGTCTTATGACTGAAGGATACCCCGCAATATATTCAAATATTTGTGACTTGTAATCTTTTAACGATCCAGTAGAAACTAATTCTAAAACACTTGAGCAACAATCTGTTTGGGTTTTTGGGCTGTAATGCCAGAGAGAACACGTGGGTAGCTTTTATCCTTATAGTCAGAGTTAAGATCTATTTTATGCGTACAACAAATATGATTCAAATGTCTAATGGTGGAAACTATACCTTTAATTCGAGGGATGGTTTTTTTGTTTGTAGGGACAAGGATCTTCCTACACATTACAGAACTGTGGATGTAAAAAGGCGCAGTATTGTAGAATACAACCTATTAGGTTATATTGCAGTCACTGGACATTCTTAGGGGTATATTTATTCCATCTCCGTATCGGATATGCCCTTCGAATTGCTCTACAAGTAATGGGTTTAAAAACAACAATGCAAGAAGGCGGCTGGCAGCAGCAAAAAAATCTACTCTTCTCCCAGAAGACATGAGAGATACAGAGAGAGAGAGAGAGAGAGAGAGAATGGAGGGCCAGATCCGTTGAGTCACAGCAACAACAAAGCCGAACAAAACAAAAAAAAAAACCCTGTCCCGTTGGCGTAGTTTTTGGCGACTTGCGAAATGAAGAAACCCTCCAAAAAAACAACAACAACAACAGCAACAAAACTTCGTGTGTCAGTTACGCTTAATGAGCACAAATATTGCTCTCATTGTTGTTGCTGTGCTGTGCTGTGCTTTGCTGTGCTGTTGGTGTAGATTTTTTGCCTTTGATTGCCATGCCGTGTGTCTGTCCCTGTCCCTGTCCCCCCCGCAAGCAAAGCTGTAACTGGGATCGAGAGTCGTCTCAGCAGCTCTCAGCTCGATTTCAATGAAGACGAGTCTCGGCTCGGGTCTCTCCCAGTCGGAAATGCCAATACTTAACCCTCAACTGGCCTCGCTCCACCACTCCACCACCCCTCCGATCATCCAGTCTCCTCCTGGGCCCCTGCCAGCCAATCTCCCTTTTTTTGTTTTTGGTATTGCCATGAGAAAACGAGGGGAAACAACAAATGAAAAGCTTCGCGGGCAGCGCATTAAAATGAAGGAGTGAAATTAGGGTTTAGGAACAGCATAAGACACTTACGATACCCTATAAGGAGGGAGAACCAGACCAGAGGTTTCACAGCTATTTATACATCTGGAAAATGTATCAAAGTTTTGGTAGCGTACATATGATAGGCGTCTGAAATACTGCGTCCCCATTTTATCTATCACTTAGGATTTAGTGGCTTCCTTTCTTTTTTACAGTCAGTTTTATATCTTGAGTCGCAATTTCATTATCTACCTATGTACCTTTATGAGAATGCTGTCAGACAAATGAAAGCAATTTGGAAAAGTACTTTGGAATAATCATAATACATTTAAAACCCAGATCCTTTTACTTGAGTGGTTTGTGCGATAATACCTCTTCAATGAGTTCTTTAAAAAACAGGCCTATACGACTGTGATATACGCATGTGGTTTCATTTATTGTATGACTTCAGACTGGGCCTACTCCATAATTAACGACTATAAAATGCCTAAAACTAAAGACTCATAATCCTCAGCTAATCCAAATTTATGGCACAACCAATATAAAGCCCTTTCGCAAGGGTATACCCATAAAAAGCCTTCAATTTGTAGCACATGTACCTACACATGCTCCAACTCCGATTTCGACTTAACCTTTTTCCCAAGCCTCCCCTTAAATCTTTGAGAGGTGGGCCAGAGACCAGAAATTCCCCTTTTCCTACTGGGAGCGAGGCCGGCAAATAGCAAATCATCACCTGGTTAAAGGGTAGAGGACTAGGGGGGATCGAAATACAATAAATAAATAAAAAATTTATTTCAATATGCGCGTGTAAGAGCGTGTATGGCCTTGGGCGATGAATGTCGGTATTGGACGCACTTACTGCTGAATTTTGTTCAAGTATACCCTTGCAGAGGGTATGAACGATAATGAACAGATGTTTCCAGAATCTGGCCAGAAACATAGAAAACTCCCAAAAAGATTGATCTATCTCTAAGGGTATTCAAAGCACTGTCCACCGAATAACGCCATTCTTTTCCTTTATATGATTTGTGTTACCTTTACTTGTTCCTACTTGTGCGTGAGGTTTTACCTCTTATGTCTATTAGGTCTTTAGCCCTCTTTGTTTTCGCTAATAAACTTTTGATCTTGCTAATGGTCTAGCATTGTTGATGCGAAGGAGAACCCGAGAGATCATAGGCGTTGGCATCGGCTTTGGTGCTTTGCCAATAACAAATTGCCATAATTAGTGGCATTTTAATATGAGGCTTCAGCTGAAAAACATCCCCACAAGAATGGGTTGTATGTAAATCTGAAGATATAACGAGCCGAGAGACAGATTCCCCCTCTGGGGCATAGGCGGCTTCTTCTTCTCTTCTTTGGGGCAGTGGGAGTGGGAAAGGTGTTGGAGTGCAAAATTATGAAAATTACTTTTCCCATGCACAGTGGGTGGTGCTTTGGGAATTCTATTTCAGATCTTAACTTGACAATGGACAATAAAACAAGAGTGGCATACTAAAAAGTATAATAAGTTTTTAATGGGTCTAGCCATGAATTTATTTGCTATAGATGGTAGATGGTAGTCGCCTGATAGGCTGCACCTCAAGGGGATATCATTTTTGAAGAAGGAGATTCCACTGAGAGCGGGGGAAACAATGTTACCAGAGACTGACTTTGAAAAGGTAGGAGTTCTTTTATGAATAATTTTGCAGATGATATTCGCAATTGAAGATCTAGTTTTCATTCTTTAGATGTATTCATATTCTGTTCCATTAAAATCCTCAACCTGAAGTATATAATAACCAATTTATTTCAAAATAAACCATAAATAACATTTTATTTGAC